TACTCGTAAACGTAACGTCTCACCGGGCATTTTTACTAACGAGTTACTATACGTTCTTTCCGAGAACGCTCTCTCGGAAAAAGTGCATCTAGTATACTAATGTTACAAAATCACTTTCGACTCGGATTTTTAAACGCTCTCCCGAGGTACTTTCGAGGATTTCTAAGGGGTTTCTGCTAAGACAATTACTCGCCGCGTGCGTATAAGAACTGCAGGCGGCCTCGAATCCTTGAGGCTCGAATACTGGCCTTCCTGCGGCTTCATCACCCGTGCCGGCGCCCACATATCGTCGCTAACAGATATAGTCCCCCTGGCGAGTTCGTTACCAAGCGTGCCGTGAACTTGAAGCGCAACGAGTGTTCCCTCACGCGAGTTCTATAACGTGTCGATTCGCGCGAGATATTCGCGGAGCAACGAATAAACACCGAACGTCGTCGTGGAGGAGAGATAGGCAAGGGGGATCTCGGCGTAAAACGCAACTCGATCCCCTCGCCGATGTTCACCTTCACTCCTGGTTTAGCGCGCCATTGTGTGGCAACCGCACAATCGCCACCCACCTCTGTTTCTACCGAAATTAAGTAGATGCCCGTGCACGTACCTCGCCGTGTTAAACAGCGTCCTTGAGACACGACACCGCGGTGACTACCATACTTGATGTACTCCGCGCCAGTACCTTTTCCAAGTTTTTATCCTTTGACAGTTGCCGTCGCGTCGTCTACGACAACGGTCTCATTTATATGCGTTGGGATGCAAGCGAGATGGGGTAATGGCGCGGTTTAACGGATAAAAAAGTGTTCACGGACTTCCACCAGGGAGGCCCGGTCTCGATCTCGTAAGAAATTCTTCGCGAAAACCTTGAGTTTTGATATAAAATATGTTCTAGATTTGTTTCTAAATATATTAACCCGATGGACACTTTATCTTTTGGTAATCTTTTGTCTCCAGTTTGATCTAATAATCATTTTATACATTAAAAAATTTGGACTACAGAATAAATTTTTATTTCTGAAAATTAATCTTTGTTTCCGTCTCTTTCTAAATAAATAAAAGATTCGTCGCTATGTAATTGTCTGCTCAAATAATAACTTTACGTAATAATAAATTTACGTAGACGCGAGATAAGAGCACCATTGAATTTACAAGGTAATTTTCCAGAACGTAATGTAACCTCGGTTTATTTTCGGCGTAGTTATCTTGACTTGAATCGTGTTAGTGCCTTCCATGGTGTTGCTTGTGTAACTTTCGACTCTGTTATACTTTGGTTTCAATTACGGCAGATTAATTAGGCGCGAGTGAAAATCGTGTAGATTACGCGGGCGGTAATCTAGAGTTTCGTGATTAAACAACCGGCTCCGAATATAAGCGCGTGTTTCGGTTTCGGTAAAAATATTTAATGTTACGCTCCTCGTTTGGTGCGGTTCGCCGACACGTGGGAGTTATGCGGGCTTTTAACCGTTACAGTGCACAACACCCACGCTGATATCGGTTTAAAAAGATTCGATCGCTAATTGAGTAACAAATTAGAGAACATTTTGTATTGATCTTATACAAACTCTACTTTATTCGCGAGTTTGCGCTTGCACTATGCTTGCAATAAAATTAATAATATTCCAGGGGGAAAAGATGGATGTAAGTAAACAGCTGATCATCATTCAATTTTCTATATGAAGAAAAATAGGAAGAATTTCTTTTCTTTGTTTTTTTCTTGAAAATAAAATTTTAATGTCGACACAGTGTATAAAAAGTCATAGATCTATATCTTTGTATACTTATTATTAGTGTAGCAAAAAAAAATAAGTTTATAAAAATGATAATAAATAATAGTTATAATAAATTTATGAAAATTGTTACTGTTGTCCTTATATTGAAGAAAGAGAGACTTCGTTCCTATATTTTTCATTTTCTTAATCTGTAGAGCGAGAGCGTAAAACAAAGCTCATTATTAATCGTCTGCTCGTCGAGTAAAATTCAATTTGACACGTCAGGTTATTTATATCGCGATACAAATGTAGCAAGGCGCGTACGCTTAGGTGCGCGCTGCGACCTCGGGGCACGTCGGCGCAATCAACACGTGGGGCGTCTAAGAAAAAGAGAGAAAGAGAGAGAGAGGGGAAGAGAGAGATTCACGGGCCCTTTACATCAAGATCTTCACTTAGCGTAGTCGAAGGCGAGCGAATGTACATATACATGCGGAGCAAACGACGCGCGCCAACACGTGGAGGCGGACGGGATTTTCTCTCCCCCCCTCCTTTCTCTCTCTCTCTCTCTCTCTCTCTCTCTCTCTCTCAACGCCTGCATCACGCTTTACTCCCTTCCGTTCTGTGCTCTTCCTCGTAAAGTCGCGGACGCGGATAGACACGAATAGAGGAGGAAAAAAAGTAGCAGCGCGAACGCGTAGGCATCAGCTCGCTCCTTATAGGAGTGACACGCGCGTGCAACGACCGAGCCATTATTATACGGATGATTACCGCGTGCGGGGGCCCCACGTTGCACGTGGACGTGCCCGCTTGGATCCGCCCGTGGTGCTTATCCTGTAGGCTGGAAAGAAAGAAAAGCCGCGATATAAGCATCAGCTCCTCATGAGTCACGAGCTCACGAACAAGGATTTCCATTCCTTCTCGTTCAATTTCTCGATGCTTGATTATGATAGATGGCTCATACGGACAGCAATCTTCTAACAATTGAGCGGATTTTATAATAGAATTAATTTTAACTTAGAAATATTTTTGTGAAGATCTTTGCATCTTTAAACAAATTTTTTATATAAAATAAGTAAGCATATAGACAGAACGAATTGCTATTCACTGTCGAATGCAATGATTATAATTAATAAAGATGCATTGTCATCAATTGAATATCTGCATACAAATTTTAGATCGAGGTTTAGAATCTTAATTAATCATAGTTAATATTCAGAATTATGAATCAAGAATACATTTAACGTCACAGAATTCGCAATGTATCGGGGAAAATCATCGGGGCTGTAAATAAATTCGCAATTAGCGTCGATTCGACGCAGTGTCGATGTGCAGGCCCTTGCCCTTATCGGAAGCAATGTTTTTTCAGGGTGAAGTGGAGGCCTTGAGATTAGCATCGACGCGTCATAAATCACGCGAGCCCCTCGGGCGTGCAGGCGAACCTCCCTGCGCTTCTCCCTTTTTCTCTCTCTTTCGTTTCCGTAGCGCTGATTTGTAAAAGTTTGGCCCATCGACGTGGATTTACGCGTCGAATAAATTATCCGCGCTAATGATAATATTGCCTTGCTCGTCTTAAACAATCTCATAAACAACCTCACCCCTTTAGCCATTACCGCTTAACTCATGGCCGTGAATAACGATACGCAAATTAATTTCGCCACCGTATATCCTATCAAGAGATGCGAGCTTCTTGTGATATTTAATTGCAAGTAACATCATAAAATAGGCGACAAGTCAATTTTCGGTAATTCGACTTTTCTTAGCATTCCATTTTGAGAATTTTGATATATTTAATATAGAATTTTAGTTCTTCTAAAATAAGATTCTTATTACTTTCTATTTAAATTTAACGCTGATTTATACACACTTGTCTTTGTTATAGATTTTCTTACTTTTTTTATCTATAAGGTTTTTCTATTAAATAATTAAATGCTTCGGAAAATTAGATTTAGACTCCGTTATACTGACGTTATAACGGAGCTCTTTTCTTACGTGAGATGACATGCATTAGTTTCTTGACGAAAAGCGTGAACGGAATAAATTGTCTGATGACGATAATGCTTTATCGAGAGATCGTAAGGGGCCGATCATCGGGTGGAACATGCTTGTCATCTACGAGTCGCTCTCGTAAATCATTGCAAATCGATCCGATATCTCAATCGGTGCGGCTTCTTACAGGAGTGAGGGTGCTCGTCGGGGAAGTCGCCGTTGCTCATTTAAAAGTTTGTTTATTGCATTGTGCCACGACCTCGCATAAAGATCCGCTGTCGTGACGTTCTTGTCCCGAAGTCGCTTCTAACGATAAGCGTTTAAAAGGAGCGGCACGTTTAACGGGGGGAACAATGGCGAAAACGTGTGTGGGTGAATGTCGCGGAAAATGCGGAGGCCGTGCCCGAACAGCCTTCGAAAGTCGAAGGAGAGAATTGATTTGCCGAAACAGTCATTGACTGTTATATATATATATATATATATATGTCAGTATCCGTTATATATATATATATATATATATATATATATATATATATCTAAACCATTTTCGAAGGCGTTATGTAAAAAGGCGTCTTTTTGCAAAGAGGCTGATTATACAAAAAGGCTCCTATATATATATATATATATATACATATATATTTACTTAAAAAAAATTTACTCATATATATATATATACATACATATATTACTTTGAAGTAAATAATTTACTTCAAAGTAAAATTAAAAATTTGCAAGAAATGAAGACAAATTGAAGAAATCTTACGAAAAAGGGAAGAAAAATCTTCATTTCTTGCAAATTTTAATTTTACTTTGAAGTAAATTTGTTTAAAGTAAATGCTTTAAAACTAAAATTGTAAAGTCTATTTACGGTGTATGAAAGATTAAAGATATAAATATTAAAGTTTTGTTATATATTTTGCGATTCAGTTTCCTATTCAGAAACTGATTTAGAAGGAATTCGCTCTGAGCATTTTATACATTAATTGCAAGTGGTTCTGCAAGTTGTTCTCTGTAGAGTGTATCACAATTAAGATGTCAGTTGGTTTATTATTTATAAGTTATTGCAAAAATTATAGGCTCTATATGTTTGAGATTGTTGAAGTGATTTATAGACTGTATCACACCTTCTTGTGCGACAAGAGGTACTCGAAGGTAATTCATGTTGAGTCCTTGACTCGTCGAATAAAGCGATCGAACTTGTTTAAATACGGTTGATATATCGTGATTCGAATACGAATGGCCAACCGAATCACTAAGTTCCCCCAACGAACGAATATATTTGTCAGATATCTAATTGCAAGAGTGCTGTAAAATATGAATATTTATCTGCACGACTTCGAAGGACCTTTCGATTCCTCGAACGAGCGCACAAAGGTGAGTTCGCTTAAAGATGTCGGTGGCAAACGATCCCTGTTCCGGAGGTACGATACCGTCTGTCGAGCTCGGCGTGAATCATCCGTTCATGGACAAAGGTGGGATCCGTTTCCTCGCAGCCGGGGACGCCGCATTATGCCGCCAGTAACACGTTGCAACATCACACTGCTTAAAGCGCTAAGCGGAGGTGACCATACAGATAATCCGATTGTGCAAGTAATGAATAGAAGAAAAATTCCTCGTGCATTAACGGAGTCTGTAATTAGTACTGAAAGTTTTTTTTTTTAATATCGATTCTATATACAAGCACAGAATTGCAAATGAGAAAGTACAATTCTTAGCCATGTTAAATTAAGATAAGAGTGACGAGCTGCTCGCGCGTAGCTTTCACTGATCGTTCTCCAATTTAACCTCCCCAAATCCGTATACGCGATGATATATACACAGATCATCCCATTATATTTTCTTTAGCTTGTAAATCATCCGATTTGTTGAAAATTGAGTATCATGTCCTCCGCTCTTCGTCTCGCTCGACGTTTGTCGCTCGACGGAGAAATACCTCGAGAAAGACTTTGACACAAAAGCCCCGTTTTCTCTCGCACTTTCCTGCCGTCTTGCCGCTTGACTAATCAAACGCGTCACGCATCGTACGCTGCGTTGAGATGTGACGGTAGCGCGTATCGCGCATAGCCGCGCGGCGTCGGCGTCCTCGGTATCGTACATGCGAATTATACGAAGATAAAATAAAATAACGGGGCGTGAAACGTATATCCGCTACATGGGAGGTTTCCACTTTCTTTCCCAGCAGTGGACACCGTTGCGCGAGACAGCGTATGTTTGTACTTTGGCAATATATATCCCATAAGATAACAATTTAATAATTTCAACCGTGAATTTGGAAAAATTATTTTTGACTTCTCAACTATTTAACTCTTAGTTTTAGTTTTAGTAATTACGTAATCTAAATAATAACCAGTTAATTGTTTAATTTATATGTATATAATAACCATATAATAATTGTGTCTGTATATATAGACTTCGGATTTTTTACTTGAAACATTTAAAGTACTATCTGATGGACTCGACATCATAGATGTTGTGATGACTGTTCGTCATTATTTCAACATGTTCTCTAATTCTAAAGATTTAAGATGCCTTAATATTATCGCATTATTTATTACATATCGTTAGACGCCAGAATATATTACTACGGTTTATATAGTCATAATTGACACCGATTAATAATGATAACCTACTTAGAAATCTCTTATCCTTGGACGGATATAGTAATTATGTAGATATGCAAGCACGCCTAGCGAGATACATCATCTGATTTTCTCCAGATTAGAAGAAAAGTAACAGTGACACTTAGCTTTTCCCGGATGATATCATTATGGACTAATTGTCTCTGCGGACGCATATCCGCATTTCAGTACTCACTTTCGTATCTCGCTTTCGACTGCACAAGACGCGCACGTAGGTGTCCGTTTTACGAGGGAAAATGCGTGTTTCAATTTTTCGTCAATTCTGGCTGGGGATCGAATTATTTTGCTTATTAAAAAACATTGGATTCGCGCGCGTCGCGATATCCAACGCAGTCACCGGCCGTTAACGTGTAACGTAACGGCCGCATTCTTCTTCATCGGGTGTGCAACCGGTGAAAGTTGCGTATCGCGATAATTAGGAAGAAAATTACGCCGCGTTAGACACGACGGCCTGAATCGGAATTATCCGGCGAGGAGAATCGGGCCTTTATGATCGCCGCGTCGATGCGATCACCGGCTGATCGTTTTGCGATCTGCGTCGGTTGTGCCCGATCGTACGAATTTCTCATTATCGCCAGCGCGCGGTACGTGCCAGTGAAAGTAGGAACCACATTGTATGACGTTGCACGCCTCGTTAACATAATCAGTAATTATCGCTCCCAGAAATATCCTGGTATGCACTTTCGGCGCAAACGCGGTGTCCGTCCGGAAGCAGCTGCTCCTTCGTATCGCGAGAGAAACAAACGGATATTAGGCTCCAATAACCCGATTCTCATTGCCGGAAGTGCATCAGGAAAACGATAATCGCGGCATGTGGAAGGCTCTAAAAGCTAAGTGCCGTTTTATAATACAACAGACGTATCTGATTACCCGCGTTATGTGTTCGCTTATGCGAACGCAGGGATCTTTGTAATGTATGCGAAATTATCCGAATCTTTACGCTTCAAGAATTCGCAGTAATCTGGTAATCTCGGCCGTAAAGTGTTTCTCCGAAGGATAATTAAGGTTTGTTGCGCACGACAATAAAACTGCAGGCTATTCAAAACGTAGATTTGATCATTCGCAAATGCAAAGTCGTGGCTCTTCACGCGTAACATCCCAATAACTCCAATAAGAGGAGCAAAATTAAAACCAACTGTATGTATGTAATCCTTTTTCAGTTTAAACTAAATTAGTCGCGAATGAGCAAAAATTAATTCGTCCGTTTGTCGACTATAATCTCACGAATCAAAGAATTTTTATTATTTGGAGAACTTTTGGAAACATCAAAAATACAGTTTGCTGATTATAATCGCGCACAGATTTGAATGTCTAAAGAATTATTTATTTGATAGGCTACCGCAATGTATTATATGGAGTTCAATTCAATGTAGGACCATAAAGGGTTAAGTATATATTGAACTTATCGAGTACCAATAACTTACTCCATATTACGTAATACAGCACAAAATGCTGTGCAGAACTCCTAATATTGATTTCGATTGATTCTTCAATTAATTTCAAGAGATTCTCTGATTACCTTGGCATCAATCTAACGCAATATATTAAATAAATGACGTCCGTTTTGCTGAGAAGTACATCGTGAAAGCTTTTGCGGTATCTATTTGCCACGAGCGTGAGATATTGGATACGTCCCTCGAATAATGGAAGGACGCTCTCGGTCTCTCGCGGGAACGAGATAGAAATTACACTTTCCAATGTGATAAATTACGCCGATTATCGACGTAATTTCTGCTGTCACGGTTCGTTCCCGGGCGGGTGTGTCCGAAAGGAACGATGCGACGGCGCGGCGGCGAGACGGTGCATCAGAGAAGATGTACCTTGGCGAATTACTAGCACGTCCGGATAACAGTTAGTCTCACTTAGGATTAGCGAGTATGTTATTTTCGCGCAGGAAAGCGGTTTCACCGTCACGCATAGGGCTTCATTTCGAGACTTGTAGTACTAGAAAACGATCAGATGATGAGAAAGTGTCGTTTCAGCGTCGATTTCAACGATGAAAAGAAAGTTTGGCAATTGAATTATTTGCGATAGTGAACTCATAAATAAATTAGAAATTTTAATAGCTTTTATTAACACATTTTCTATTTATCATTTAATAGGTATTACGAGAGTCAGTTTTGTAAAATTAACGCCATATCTATTAGGAATTATTTTTAAATTTAGAAGAAGAAAGTACTCGTATAATTTTTTTGTCGTGAAAAACGAATAAAAAAATGATAATTTATTCTTTTTGTATGATGCACATAGCATTATTATATCCGCGAATTGTAAATTGTATAAAGTAGGTTTTCTGTAATTGTGCATTCCTCTATTTTAGACACATTACGAGACAGATTTCTTTTTGATTGTTGCAGCAGTGCGGCAGCAATAGCAGCGGCGGCGGTTCGACGGAGGGTGTCGTGGTGAACGTCGTCGGTGCCAGTAACGGCGTCGGCAGCGGCAGCAGCGGCGGCGGCGTCGGTGGCATGGACTGCATGCCCTTGCGCCCCGGTCCGTTCCACTACCTCATCAGCGAGCAAGCCAAGTCCCTGGTGGCCCTGCAGGAACTGCAGAATGAGGTCGGCGCCCTGCTCGAGTTCCGGGACCTCGTCATCGAGACGTTCCCAAACCTCCGGCACAAGATGGCCGCGACGGCGTCCGCGGGTGCGTCCGTGATGTCGTCCACCTGTACCCAGAGCTCGCACATCCCGCTGCCGCTGTCGAGCCCGTCCTCGCGGAGGATCAGCGAATGGGAGCCTGGCAAGATAAGGCGGCGCGTGACGCGCGAAAGTAGCGGCGGCGGCGGCAGCGGTGGTAGCGGCAGCGGGGGTGGTGGTGAATCCTCGTCCTCGTCGCTGCCTAGAAGCCGCAGCAACTCCCACAGCGGCGGCACCAAGAACAACTGCAGCGCGACGGTCCAGGACTCCGGTTTCAGCACGGAGACCTCGTCGAAGGACAGCGCCTCGACGGCGATCGCGCCGCGAGCGAGCAGTCCCCGGCCGAACGCGTTGGACGAAGCGGAGGACGAGCTCTGGAACCTGCTGGACGTGATCCACCGCAAGGGGATCCGGCTGCGGGAGGAGGTCGAGTGCCTTCAGGGTCGTCTAGAAAGCGTGGCGACGGACGAGCTGGTGTCGACGGATGTGCTCGAGGCTGTGAGGAATATCACCGGTCTCGGCGATGCCGACCGGACGATCGGCTGCAACGTCATTGACGACGGGAGTGTCGATCGACAGCAGCAGGACAGCAGGGACCCGCAAGTGATAGCTCTTAGGCGGGAGAAGGAACAGCTGTTAGACAAAGTGGCTGAGCTCGAGGCGGAGACGATATCGAGTCGTGTCCGGGCTCAAGAACTGCAGACGGAATTGGCCGCCCTGTCGGCGCTAAAGACTGGTCTGGAGGATCGGTTGCGGGCTGGACTGACCGAGAACGCCGCGGACATTTTGGCACCGGGTGTTCAAAGACTGCAACCTATCGCACCAGTGATTTCCTCGCCGAAGAACGCCAATGTTACTAGTATCAAGAGCAAGAGTTCGGCGTTTGCGACGGTCGCCGGTAGTCCCGGAAGCAAGGCTCACAAGAGCCGCTTTCGCACGAGGACCATCGACAAGAATGTATTGCTGGACGTCGTCGGGCGCAATGACGAGATGCGCAATGTCGACATCGACGTTGAGGCGAACGTGAATGAAAGGCGAGCCAGGTTGGGTGCGCTCGATTCCATCCTGGTCTCGCCCACCAGGGTGACTCACGTGAAAGACGTAGACTCAAGAAAGATTGCGGCCATTCTTCGCGAGCACTCGCCCCTTGAGCTTCAGCGGCACCTAATTACCACTACCGTCCATAATCAGGTAAAATTAGTTTCTATTCTAATGCATCCTTTATTTTAAAAAGTGAAAGGAATAAACTTGTGGTCATTATCTGTTAATCCCTCGACAATTTATCGTTCGCAGGTCCTACAAAAAAGGCTAGATGAAGTGAAAAAGAGCACAGAAACTCTCTCGGAGCGACTGGATAAAGCGCGCGAGGAGAATGACGATTTGCGTTTCCAGGTGAGTGGCGATCAAAAGTCGCTGGGTAGCAACTTTAATTAAAAGAATTTTTAAAAAAGTGTGTCATATTGCATTACATTTTTCTATAAAGAAATCACACCAATCGTTTATAATATCAAAATGACATGATATCTCTCTTTTAGTTGGAGGAACGAAATATCGAACTGGAAGGCACGCGGGCACGAGTGCGCGTGTTGGAGCGTCTTCAACAACGACCGCCAACGGAAACCGAGCCCGAGGCGGATCTGGAGCAGCCCAGATGCGAGCAAAGCGGCCTCGAGCCTGGCAGCAGCACGGAGTCCGCGCGGGACCATCATCAGCCGGTAGAGATCAAACCGTCGCCACGGCGGCGTCCTAGTCGTATACCTTTACCCGGCAACGCAAGCGGCAAGGCGACATCGACGACGCCTACAACGAGCGTGACTGCTGCAACGACGCCTGCGCGACCGTCCAGTCACGGCAGGAACGACAGCAGGGAATCGCTCAAGTCGCTAACAAGACCGCCGCGTGATTCTAGTCGCGACAGCCATGGCGGCGGCAAGTCGTTGTCGAAACCGCGCGACTCCAGCCGAGATTCGCTAGGCAATAGGAGTCTGTCCAGGGGCGGCGGTAACGGAAGCAGCAACAGTAGCGCCGGCGGCGGCGGCGGCGGCGGCAAGGAAACAAATCGGGAGTCGTCCTTGAACAACCGCTCCCTGCCGCGTAACAATTCCAGCCGAGACTCCTTAAATAAATCCTCCTCGCTGTCCCGCGCCCGTGACTCGTTGGAGTCTAACAACAATGTCGGCACGTCCTCGCCCAACACGGGAACGATTAACGCTCCCCCTCGAAGACCGCCCGCTCCCGCACGCCGTTCCCACAGCCTGGCGCGCGCAGCGACGTCCGTCGATGCGTCCGAGAACGGCAAGGTACGACCCGTAAAGCAATTCTTTTGGAGCAGCTGGCTGAAGTCACCGTTGTCCAACGGCCCGGTATAGTAGAGAGCTCTCGGCAAGCCTTCTCTTCCTCAGGACGACGGGCTGTAGTCGCGCTCTCTCTCTATCTTAGGGACAATCACCGCTCAACATCATTCCCTCTTCGGAGTCCACTCTCTTAACCCTTTGTAACGAAAATTAGAAAACCGCTACTTTCCTTTTTACTTCCCGTATAAGTATCTCGCCTCGACCCGCACTGACTTTGGTCACGTTGAAATTAAGATCGGCTAGACGGACTAAACGGCGTCGTTCTACCGTCGTCGCTTCCACTTGACGAATCCTTCTGTATCTATCTTGCTAACTGTCTCACTTCTGTACTTCTCGCCATTGTAACTACTACTACTACTACTATTACTGTCATTACTGTTACGTCACATCCTTACATAATAACCGTAACAGTGACTATATCAGCTGGCAATACCGAGAGTACGTACATTTATCGAGGATGTATCTGGTACGATTTCCTGCGATGATACAAATGCACGGACTTTCATAACGCTGTCATTTCCTCCCGTTTTTCCCGTGGAGTCTTTCCCCTCCCCCTACGCCCTCATCCTATTCTATTCCCTCCTCTATGATTTCCAACGCGGACTTCGACACGGTATCAACGATGTACGATCGTACAGGAACGGAACTTCCGTTTTCGCTGAGCCACTATCTTTGCCTGCATAAACCGAATGTTCCTGGAAAAAAAAAACACATCTCTAACAATAACGTGCAGAGACTCGAGCGAGCGAATCGACTGATTCTTGTTTTAAAACCAACCAATTGTCCGCCCGCCCGACCGTCCACCATACCGAAATCAGTCTGATCTGGAGGGCAGGCGAGCGTGCATTCGAGCCCGTCCCCAACGGCGGTCCAATAAAGAAAGAAAGTGGCCCCTTCTCGCGTGCCGCCGGTTTTTTCTCGTAAGTTATGCTTCTTTTATTATCATTTGCTTCGATGCTTCTTTCCTGGATGTGGTGAGCTGTAGTCTTTGTCTTTTTCAATCCACTCTCATCTCTCCCTTGCCCACACCGGTAGAATTATATACACCATAGTTTGAACGCTCTCTCACTTGGATTTTGGCATGCGCACGTAATAAAGTTTCTTCCAGATTGCGGATAGATCAGTAGTAAGAACGCTTGTCTCTGCAAACAAATATATTTGCAGAGCAAACTCTCGCGTAATAACATGAGAGTTTTTTTTTCAGCTTTCGGAATGTATAACGTAATTTTAATATGCTAACGTTTTGTCGGAATACTATGTAGAACTAATAGAGATTAGAACATTAATCGCTCGTGTTAGTCTGTTACAGTAAAATCGAACTTTTAAAATTATTTTAATTTTCACTTCGTGAACGAAATTATTTTTCTCTCTTTCTCGAGAGATAACTGCTAATTCTACACGTACATAAATTTTAGATCAGTAACAGAAACTAATACATTCTCAGTTCTAATTTCTAAGTCTTTAAAAGCATACATACATTCTTAGCTCTAATTTCTGAGTCTTTAAAAGCAGATTTCAACGATCCCACGCTAGTGTTAGAAAACACAGCCAGATAAACACACGATCTTTTACACTTCCTCAAAATCGCATTACGAAGGGATTCATTTCGCACGGATTTGGATTTTGCCGCTTTTCCTTCTCTTTTGCGATTGCGATTTATTTACGAGAACTCATTGATTCGTGCATGCGCGGCCGATCATGGAACATTTGATCAAAGTCTATGCATCCATCGTCGAAGTTTGGCTGAAGCAAGACCGACCGCTCGACAAAAACTTAGAGATGTCACAGCCAACGTTTTAGATAATTCCACATTCTTTCGCCCATGAAGACGCACACAAGCATTACACGCTCGATTCGTCGCATATCCATTTTACCTCAACACCCCCGTACATTTCACCGGTACATATTTTCAAACATCTTTTACTCTCATGACGTAGGTAGAGAGAAAGAGGAGAAAACATTTATTTTTGGCACGTACCTTTTTTTGATCATCAGCAGCATTTCAGCGCTATCGAGTGCCTTCCTTCCCGCTCTCAAATATATGTTGTATGTTATATATTAGTTTGCTCTTTTCGTTTGCTGACATTTGATCTTATTTGCTAACGTTGCTTGTATACGGAACATAAAAAAACCCGAGAGAGAGTCGTCGTAGTCACGATTTGTATTACAGTCATAATCACGATTTTGAGGGAAAATGAATCGACCACACGCTTACCTGCTTTTTTTTGGTCTTGCGGTTCATTGTCCATCTTATCCGGCAATATCGCGCGAGACGATGTTACATTTTACAGTGTGTTCCATTCGCTAATAAAATTCATGAGACGCTCTCTTTACTCAGTTACCACGATTTCTTACGTTTACATTTCTTATGATTTCGAATTCAAGTCATTACGTAGTAAATTCGCTTCGTATGAAAGTTTTACTTTTTGCCCACATATATACACATCATGTTATATAAATAGGAGGGATGACAGATCTTGATACCTCAGCATTAAAACAGCCAGTAATATCAGTGTCTCTACAAATTGTGTATACCGTCCTACATTTGACATGTAATTTTTTTCTCCCCGTCAACTCTCTCACTGTGCAAAATTGAATCGTAAAACCGGCTGTTCTAAATTCTTGGGTATTAATACAAAGTTAATCTCTTTGTCGCGCATCTCTTTAAGATGCATCTCCAAGACGATGCATCTCTAATGACGATGCTGTAGTTTCTCGGCAGGAGAATTCTCTCGCGCTTGTAATAGAACAGCGGCAGCAGGGCGCATTTTATTTGTCTCAACTGAGACCTGACAGTCTTAACTTACCTTTCTTTGTATCTTCCAGAGCTGCACCGAACCACCGAGTTCCTGGTGCTCGACCAACAGCAGTTTCCGGCACAGCGACTCGTCCCTCTACCCGGACTCCCTGAATCAAGAGACGTCGTCCGTCACCGGCTCCACGCGGGTAGAATTCATAATCGGCTCGCCCACCAGGCGCTTCCGCACGGGCTCGGCGGCGTGGCCTCACCGCTATTTCGACAGCATTGACTCGGCGGCTACGGTGCCGGAGAGCCTGCTAACCGACGAGTTCCCTCTGCGACGCGGCGAGGCCCTGGCCGAGTGCGACTCGCTCGAATGCCATCCGATCTCGAACGAGGATTGAATGAATCTGCGCCGATCGTCGATGTTACAATGCGAAGCTAGTAAAAAATGGCGAGTCGCGTAGAGTGAAAACTAACTTTGCTCTTGCTTCTTTCCATTGTTTCACACCGTACCACCGGCTCTGCTTCTACGCGGCCTTACTCGCTATCACGTGTCACGCGACGCGTACGCGAATGTATAAATAACAGAATTCTAGACACGTGAAACATATTTGTTTAGGAGATACGACGCGCTGGAGGAGTGACACACTCGCGTTCTCAATGACCCTTATTCTGTGCCTTTTCAATATTGAACGTCTTTTCGTTTTTATTTGTTCAGGAATCGCGTCTTGTGGTGATTCTAAAAAAAAAAAACGGACAGAAATCCAACGATTCTAAACTGAAGTGTAGCAATATCAATTTCCCTGCCGGACTCACTGTGTACTTCCCTCGAGTTGCATTTAAAAAGCATTTCATACACCTTTATATAACATGGACGGAGATTTTTTAGCAGTCAATTTTGCTATCTAATCAAAAGTAAAAATGATACATTGCCCTGCATCACGAAGGTACATTGATTTGTAACTAATGTAACTGATGATAGTAATCGCGCAGAAAAATGCTAAAAAGTTATCTAGTACTTTCATTGACGATATGAAAATAGAAAGTCAAATTTCACAAATTGATATAATAAATACATCATGTTTTTAATTGTGGTTAAATTTCAAATTCATCTACAATAAATATATTATGTTTATTTATAAAAGTAAAAAACATACACACATACCGAGATATAATCAAAATTCTTTTCGAATCTTTTAAGGAGAGCAGAAATATGTTTTTTTTTTTTATTTTTGTTCGGATTTCTCGTATATGTGTGTAAAACATATATCTAATTTATCAAGAGGTATATGTATAATTCTTATCAATTAAGAAACATTTTGAATTACTTTCTAGAGTCGCATATCAATAAATGCAACGGCAAGCGCTTATATTTTATTCATTTCGATATTATTTGATGTTATGTTTGGTATTGTTTTTTTTTTTAACATGTAAACGATATTTGGTTTACCTAACCAACATCAAGAATGAGTTTGTTAATCAAACTTTCGATTACTTGGTCCACGTTCGGTGACTTCGCAATTCTGTAAATTTTGTACATCTTGCGTACCGCTAATTTTTATGTATCTATCACGAATACATTTGCTATCTCTTTTATCCTTAAGCGAAAAGCTTTTGGTCTAGCAGAAGTGTCGTTAGCAGTCGGGTGTGTGGAAACATCCAATTGGATTTATTAACTCGCAACAGAGGATAGCAAGGCCGATATTTCACATTCCACAGCTGCAATTTCGTATTCCATTTAGCATTTCTATCTTCGATTTGAATCTACGTTGTGATCAATCGCTTTCTTATTTATTTGCGCGCGTTATAATTAATGCGGATTTTTTGTGTCAGAGCTTAGTCGAACGATACGAATAAGTATTGTGCTGCGATTGGGGCGAAAAATGCGTGACTGTTGAAAAATTCGAAAGACAAGGCAGACGCTGAAATTCTCATCGAACGCGGAAAATATTGAGTGCTTTCCACTCACACTTTCTCGAAAGATAACACATATCATTGTTTAATTATCGTGCGCTCGTCCGCTAGACGCAATAAGACGGGTATACATTGGTAGACGTACATCGAATGCATGAACAACGAACGGACAATGAATGCGAATAGAACGAATAGAGTGCAATATATATGTTTAAAAAAATAATTTTTTTTTTTTAACAAATTTGATTTCGTGTTCGCTGTTCATTCGTTCTTCGCTCGTACAATGTATATTTTAACTGTGGGTGATAAAAAAAGTGAGCGATGTTAACTCTCACTCGTTACAAGGAAGGCTCGTCGAATTCGTGGACGGATTCGCCGGAATCGCGTTTCAGTCCGCGATAAACTCACAATGCCCGCGACTCCGGAAAGAGCACTATGTACTACACAGTTCCTCGTTTCAAACAACCAATTTAATTATTTATATAACTAACAATGACGATTGTGAACACTGAATAATAATCACAGACGGAGCCTGTGATTCTAGGTATATAAAATAACCGCGACAACATGTGATTAACATATAGTTTAAGGTGTAAGCCACAGGACTGACGGACTCTACTTATTATTTTATTAGCGCCTAAATGTCTTTTTTACGCGCGGCGGAGACGAACGCGGGGGAACCGATGCGCATTCGGTGAATTTTGCTCTTTTCCTTGTCCATTTTTTCCCTTTTTTTTTGTACAATGGGGTTCGTGACGCCAGGCGAGAATGCTCAGATATTATTGTTATTCGTGTCAGCCGGTGGATCTTAGTGCCCGTATCATCGTGCGCGCTGCCGACTGGAGGCTATTATTTTTATACCTTTAATTAACGAGCGTAAATCGAGAAAGAGCGTGTTAAACGGGCTGCGGGGGCGCGGCATATCCTCCCGATACCGATGGTTATTGAAGCGCTGTCGCTGTATTATACTTTATCTAGTTTAGATATGTCTTATCATCATAGAATTATTAATTATTGTTTTACGATTACACACACCGACATATTTGTACATAGACGACATCGTGATTTATTTAAATAAATTAGCTCTAATGTAAATAAATATTATCTGTAACGAATCTGCGATAATGTGATCCTATTAATAAAATGAAATTACTTGAAGACATTCACTAGCGTACAGTTAATAAGTCCTCGTGTTAATCTGTATGACTTTGTTTGTGAAACGACTTGTATTCAGTAGCAAAACGCATATTACATTTCGTCATATTAAAAGAGATCACTTCGCAATGCATTATCTGTGTCGCCACGTGATCAATGATTATCTACTGTAGAATTAACGTTTAGATATGAATATCATTAAAATCTTTCAATGAGATGATGACATATAATAGAGATTTTCGATACGCTTTCAACAATATTGATATTAATTTCGACGATATTAATCAGAAATAATTGTTGCATCACTTTCATGAAAAATTCGCGACAAATATTGAAGGTTTACATTTTATTGGTGCATAAAATTTACCACTTATTTCCTATTAACTCATCAAGGACATATTGATCGAAGTAAATGTCAATTCCGGTAAAGAGAAACTGTCGATGAAGAAGCTTACTTTTCAGAGCCATTCTCTCACGTATTTTGAATTGCCAACGGAAACTTAAGACAATTTATCTTTTCAGTCGTATGATTAAGTATGAAAATGAAGAATAATGAGAATAAAGATAATGTCTTCTAGAATTCTCTAATAAAAAAAAATGCATTCCGATAATTAATTAAAACGCAGAAAACAAATTACTTTGCTTATACTAGAAGTGCCAAGCGGTCATTATTGATTGCTTCCATTTTTTAAATTAATATTATATTTTTTATGCAAAAAATAGAATTCTGAAATTTTTTGACTTTTTGAATTATGTCCTTGTATATAATTATATTAATATAATTATATTATGTCTTTATATCGAAGTATTTGACTTTTCATCACTTTTTTTGTTTTCGTAGTAATTTATTCATTCCTTTCATTAATGAATAGAAAACGTATTTCTAAGGCACAATTATCCGGAGAGGCTATCAGTACTGCGTTGGTATTTTTAAAGTACATATACGGGCAGACTATCAGCGCTGTTGCGATAATCATTCTATCCTTGTTTTATGTCTAGACATTACGTCTATCTAAAGATAGAATGTAATGCAGTAAGCGCCGACAGTGCATGCTTTCCCAATGCACCTTTGTTAAACGCTATTTTTGAGTGATGACTTTGTTCCTAAAATTTTCTACGCAATTGTAAATGAAATAAGAACATGATAGTGCATTCAGCTCCAATATCGCAAATATGTATTTTTCTTGGCCGAAGTGTTTCAAGTTCACCGCTAACTAAGAGAACAGTTATGCAACCTGTGCGAAAAAATTACTTCTTCGAACGCAACGTACGTTGTTATTTTTTTTGCAACAGTATTTCGCAGTGAAACAGTAGCATACACTCACATTGTCATGTTAAATGGTAAGCAATTATATGTTGATTAACATGTAGTTGACACATGATGTATATATGTCTCGTATTATTTCGCGTTGTTGTTGGACGTGTAATTTTGTGAGAATCGCAATTACTCTCGAAAGAGAATATACCGATCTTTTTATATTAAAAAATTTTTTATCTCTGAAAGTGATTTAAATTTAACTTGCTATAAACCCGATCGAGAGAGCACTTTGACATTTTCCTTTAAACAAGCATCAGCCTCTCGAGAGTCCTCGGTTTCTTTCTTTCCTTCCCAGTTTCGCAGAATACAGGCGATTTAAATCGAATAATTTCGAGACGACTTCGTACTCCTCGGATGTTAAATGTCAATCGAAGTTACGACGTAATTGTCCGTTCTGGCTTAATCGCGTTTTGAAACCGCTGCGTTTTGAAACCGCCGTCGCGTTTCCTTTGACGATCAAGATTGCGCCGTGAATGCTGATCCTCTCCTGTCGGATTAAATGCCGCATCTCTGCTAAACGGGTTTGCGGAGTGGCATTATAACGCCATTGAGCGCCGCGCGCAAGCGGGTTAATAGGTATAGTTTAATTTATCGGTTGTCATCGCTCGACGGGAGCGTCGTGGGGAATCCGCAAGAGCCGAGAAGATCCGGATGCCTCGCATTATCGAAGAGCTCCAGGGATGGCGGCGAGCCTCGTTCCAAAGTTCCAGGCAACGCGCGATATAATCGACAAGTAAGACGTCTCGTCTTAAGCATTTAAAAGATATTCACCGTTTCACCGTATCTACGTTCTTGATCGACGACAATAGATCCTACATCCCAATGAGGCGAAACGCAGAAGATGTTCAAGCCGAACGGCAAATCCAGGAGGGCGAGTACGATCCCTTCGCCGATCGCCCATCCGCACCTTTGACCTCGTACGTTTTGTATCTTTCCCTTGATTGTCAAAAGGTTTCTTAGATCATCTATGATTTGATACATAAAACTAATAAGCAAGCTAGCAATTTGCAGGGAATTAAATTTCTTGAAAAAGATCTTATTAAAATTTAAAGCGCTGGAACAAGTCATGAATTATTTATAATTTCTTCTGTACATATACTATATAATACATGACCAATTGTTCATAAACTGGCACTTATCGCAATTGACGTATCCAGAAAATGATCTCAGAATAAATTATGATAATATAATTTTTCGGTAAATATACGTAAGCTGATAAGAGGTATCAAAGCTAATATCATATTATTAACACGATCTTTTTAGCCAGGCACACATGATCTTAAATCATTGAAAAAAATGACTCTTAAAATCGTATAATAGCCTATTCATTTCTGAGTTCTATCTTGATTATTTCTGATTATAAGTCGATTGATTATTTCAAGAGATTGATAATTCGTGTTCGTGTAAACTTTTGAAGATCTAAAATGTTAAAAGCTTAAGTTGTCATCGTGACCAAATTATTGCAAAAAATTATTATGAAATGAGAATTAATTATGAAAAATTATTATAAAATTTTCGAAACGCTTATCGCTTAGAACCATGTCGTTCTCATTTTCAAAATTTTTCGTGAAATCCGTTATTTAAAAAAAAGTTGTATGTATCAAAATTTCAAGAATGCCAAGATAATTAACAAGTATAGTACAATTATATATATATATATATATATATATATATATATACATATATTCATAATATATATTATATAAAATATTTGCCAAATATATAAATTGCGCGGAATTGTACAAGAAGCGTTTGTACGCAATAAAATTCCACAAATTAATAAAGATTAACGGTTGGATTAACGATTAAATATTATCTTGTTTATTACAATCCGGTTATCCAAGATATCGGGACGTAAACAAACAGCAAGGCACTTACGTATATTCGCGATAAAACTGTTGCAGAGATTTCGCCGTGTTCATGCATCTGCTGAAGTGCGCGATCGGCACGGGCATACTCTTCCTGCCGCACGCCTTCAGGAGGACCGGCTACGGGTTCTCCATTGTCTGCGGCACCGTCATCGGCATGCTGTGCATTCACACGGCCGTTATCATCGTACGTGAGACACGGGCAATTTTTTCGATATCAAGTGTTATTGCTAGCGTTTAAAAGAAGAAAACGATAACAATTAGCGAGAAGCGAAAAAAAGGCGCCTCTCTTGTTTATGATATTTGCCCTTAGACCGTGATGACTCAATTGTTTGCGAATCGGCGTCACCGATGAGATAAGCCATTAAACATAGAGAGAAAGGAAAAGGAAGGTCCGGTCCCGCGCGGAGCGCATCCGAATACAGGCGGGCTCTCTCTTTCTCTCTTTCTCTTTCTCTCTCTTTCTCTCGGTGTGCAGGTGCAGTGCTCCCAGGCGTTATGCAGGCGTAATCGCGTGCCCATGCTGGATTTCGCCGAAACGGCGCAGTTCTCCTTCCAGGCGGGCCCGGAGAGGATTCGAAAGTACGCCAGGCTATTCGGCGTAGTTACCAACGTGATCATTTGCTTCGTGCACTTTCAGGCCTCCGTGATATACATCTTGTACGTGGCCACGTCGTTCCAACAGGTACGACACAGTAGCGCCGCGATATGCTATATGTTATACCCATGCCGGAAGTCGAAACGATAAAGCGGCATCGTGACGTCCGTTCGGCGATTCTTATACGAATGAAAATCCTTTTACGGAGGGTATCCCCGGAACAACCGCGACCTCAATTTTAACGACCGATTCTTTGACGAAACCGCAGTCGACTCTCTTTCTTACGGCAACAGAACCTTCGCATCCATCACCGGCTTGTATCCGGAAATTATACAGCTCGATGTTTCAGTTAACCAAAGACTGAAGATTATTATACTTATATATAGGAATTTTATTAAAACTTATAGATTGCATTCTCTATTATATCCGCGTTGGTCTTATACCACATATCTGTTTATTGCTGCAAAAAATGGCAGAGATTAAAACGTACAGATTGCAGAGAGATACGATAAGGCGAAATTTCAGGAAATCGGATATCGACGAGAATTGCGATTACTTGCATTTTTCACGAAGACGTTTTCACTCGTCTTGATAGACTCTCGAATATCTCGGATTCAGAGGTAGCAAATTACAAGAATTAGATAACTTCATGCTTTGGCGGCTTTTTCCAGGTGATAGAATTTTTCGCGGATCTCGAGATGGATCCGCGCGTCTACATCGTCATCTTCTTTCCCTTCACCTGCGTCCTGGGCTTCGTGCCGAATCTGAAGTATCTGGCGCCGTTCTCCGTCATCGGCACCTTCTTCCTGTTCCTCGGCGTCTGCACCGCGCTCTACTACTTCCTGGACGATGTCCCCGATCCCCGTAGGCTCGACGTCGTGACGCAGGTCCTGCCTGTGCCAATGTACTGCGCCATTTTCCTGTTCGCCCTGCACAATATGACCCTCTACCTGCCGCTGGAGAACACGATGAGGCATCCCGGTCATATGCCGCGCCTGATCGTCGCCAGCACCTCGCTCAACACCGTCATATACCTGACTTTCGGCTTCCTCGGCTACAACAAGTACCCGGACGCCTGCGACACCGTCATCAAGAACTTACCAATGGAGGAGACGTAGGTGGATTATTTTCTGCCTTGCGAAACACGCCACCGCCTGTCCAGATTTAATTAATACTTTAATGTTGAACATATTCGACATATTTCCTCTCTCTCCTTCCCTTTCTCTTTCGACCAATTATAGTTAATTAATAGTTACTTATATTTAGTTGAAAAACTGCTGGCTTTACGGATCAAACGAAATATTTGAAGAGAATTACATCAGTCTCTTTGTGCAAATAAAATTTGTTATTTGCCGGGGATTGCAAACAAATCGTTATCAAAGGCAATTAAACTGTTCATCAACTAGTTAATTGTATTAAGTTAAAAAGCCGTTAGCCTCACGGGGCATTCGCAAACGAAATATTTGAAGAAAGTTACATCAGTTTTTTTATGCAAATAAAATTTGTTACTTGCCAGGGATTGCAAACAAATCGTTATCAAAGGCAATTAAACTGTGCATTAACATGCGACAATCGGTAAATATGTCGGCTGTCTGTTATACATGACAGCTGTATAATTAACATCGCGTAATCGGTGATCGCAGAACAGGATGTGCTTAACATTTACGTTTTCTCTATACATGTCCAGTATCCTCGATTCGCTTTACATGTTCCGTGTACTTCTCGTAAGAATCGCAAGAATAGACGACGTATATATCCACACGGCGAGACCTTCGAATAACTTTAAATTTAACAAAAGCGAAACGAAGCAGCCAACCGTATAGTAAAGAAATATATACGTAACGTACGTATCGTGAGGGTCAGTTTGACCGCGCGTAAACGTGAAGGACTCAAGTCTGACTCTCAAACTAGTTTAACCTCACCGTTGAATTATCACAGTCATTGCATCTGGACAAAGCGAGTTGACGATTTCACGTATCGTTAAGCGCAATATATATATATATATATATATATATATATATATTGCCGCAATGTTCTAGGAATTGTCCGTTCGCAATTCATTAGGTTTACTTCACGAGAGATACCTTGATCGAGAGATACCTTGATCTCGCATGTACATATTATTATATATCGGTCATTTAATCTACACGTAATAGAGCAACGTTCTGCATAACTATTAACTAGACTGCTAGACGTAGCTTATCTGACAACTTTTGTTATGGAAGCTCTTCCATGATCATCGAGTTGCATACATCGATTATAGACAATAATAAAGTCATATTACATGCACAAGTTCCCATGACGCTGCTATTGCGATTTGAAATTTAAATTAATAATGACACAACATTTCCGGGTATAAGATAATCAATGTTTCTTCGCCGTAATTACAAACGTATGAAATTATACCGTAACATTTTAATTCTGATTATGAGCGTCAATCTAGATTTCCCTCCTTCGATATAATTGCGCTGTGAAGTGTAAAGAGAAAAGGAAGGAGAGAGAATATCACTACCGTATCTTAGATCAAAAAGATTTGTCGCCACGATAGAATCGTAGATTCGTATCGATCGCAGACGTCTAAAAAAAAATTGCAATTCACGCCTCCTAGCCGACCTGGCCGCCTTATGGCCCGTTTCACGCTACATTTTGCAGCCTGGCCCAAGTAGTCAAGATTGCCATTTCCTTGTCGGTCCTGTTTACCTTCGGTTTAGCGTACTACGTCCCGATGAGCGTGCTGTGGCCCTTGATCCGCTCGAGAATCGCCACGAAGAGCTCGCTGCATCAACGTCTTTACGAAAGCTCGCTCCGTTTAGGCGGCTTAATCGGCACCAGTAAGCGTACCGAGCGATTACGCGCATTACGACGGCACGAATGTCGAATGTAATTGCCAGGAAGTAACCCGTCCTTGTCCTTCTTTCCGGCTGTAGCGCTGCTGGCCATCGCCGTGCCCCAAATGGTACCCTTGCTGGGCCTGTTCTCCGCCTTGGGCATGTCGACGATCATGCTGCTGATACCCATACTAATCGAGACGACGACCAAGTGGGCGGAAGTCACGAGGACGATGCTCGCGAAGAACATCGCTATTTTCATCGTGTGGCTGCTGATCTTGGTGCGACTTTTCTTAGACACTGCACGAAGAAATTTATTTCCGATTGCATAAAAACTTGACAGAATTAGTCTCACTTGAAATTTTTCTGGTTCAAGACTAGCTTTTTCTCAAGTTTTTATAATAATTTGTTTAGATCGAATTCCCGCATGGAATTCTTTAATGAAATTCTCCGAAGGAAATACTAACATTGGCTTTAAGATTTAATCAGTCGTGAGGTCGTATCGGGTATACATAAACATTGTTATTATTTATCTGAGACAACAACTACGTTTTAATAAGAGCGCCGTAATCTTTAGGTGATGCAATGCTCGTTTGTGTTACTTTACAGATTTTTGGGACGATAGAGAGCACCTGGTCAATTGTTAGAGAATACAGAGGAACGAAGCAAGAAGAATGTTGATTGATAGCCTGTCAAACTTGAAAGACACTTTTAGCACAAAATTATGCTTCCTGCGATAATGTCATTCGCTACGCAAAACAGTCTGATGTCACCTGAGGAAGCGGAGAATCATGTAGTATAGCCACAAAAAGAACGAAGGACTCGCCGCGGAGCAGCGAAGCGAATAATGAAAGCGGAAAAATACACGAAAAATCTTTATGACAATTAATCCTCTTTGACCGCATTTGCTTCCCCCCTCCTCGCACTGTGTGTGTGTGATTCTGTGCAGCGGAAAGAAATGTGCCGCGCTGATCGCGTTACGAGATCATTTTCAGTTTGCCGCACAAACCGCGTATATAAGGGTGACGTTATCTCGGTCGTTCTTTTCCCGCGATTTTCTCGCCTCTGAATGTCCGAGATCAACGTCGACCGATGCTGACCGGTATAATACCCGAGGGCCCTTAATTTCCGTAAAGATTGGAATGTGGCACTTGCGACATTCCGGAGGGACACCTTCAATTTCCCTCGACCGCCGCCGGCGCGCGTTTACGTAACGCGCTCGGCGGCACGGCGAAGTTGCACGCCGCTCGCGATGTGGAACAAGAGCGACAGGCCTACAATGAGAAACTGCACCGCGGCGCAGCGACGGTCCAGAGAGAAGGTGGGAGACCCCGTCGAGAGGACCTCTCCTTGCAGGAGGACGAAGAGAGACGGCGAGAGTGCGGGCGACCTGCGGACGGAAGGAGACCGAGGATAAGGTGAAAGGGAACGCGACGCGGAGATGCGGAGGCGCGAATCGAGCTGATCGCACAGTCGAATAACCAACGTCCCTATGGATACGAAACGCACGAGCACGGCTACTCGGCATAGTATTATTCAGGAGTCGGAGGTGTCGACGATTTCTGATCCGAGCGGCTCGTCTCGCGTTCATTTTCTTTCTTTTTTTATTTTCTTTTTTTTTTTTTGTCGAACCTTCGGACTTTAAAGTGCCGTTAATCAATTAATTACGCGGTCGCCTGCGCTCGAGCGAGGATAAACGCGCAATGGGATAGAGAAGCGGAAGCGGTACCGCAAGGTGGAGGGAAAAACGTGAAAGCGGAAAGTAATTCGACGGTTACACGGTTGATATATAGCGCCGTCATATATAATTTCGGATGTTGCATTAGCGGCTGAAACGACTGTTCATTCACTGAACTCGCAAACCTTGAGGTATCTCATAAAGAATGTTATTTTGTAGATATAATTCACGTAAATATTTGTTTTCGAATATTTTCATGATTATTTTGCACGCGTCACGTTCTATATGTTCTGTATTTATCTGCACAATATTTCCAATTTTGTAGTTTCTAGCTTAGCTGCTAGACAATTTCTTTTTATATATTTGTGTTTATCTGTGAAATTTATACGACGATTCGTCAATTAAAAAGTAAAAAAATTAAACTACTCTCCGTCTGCTTTTTTGTACTGTGATTATAACTGATTAAATGTAAATCTAGAAAATTATTTTACTTAACTCTTCAAGCAGTGCTAACTTGTGATATTTAAATCGTTTTTGCAACATAAATCATCGTGCGAAGCAATTTTTGCCCATAATATTGAGAAGCGAATCCCATTGGCTTTAATTTCTGCCAGACCAGATTATCGTGCACGCTCCGAAGTAATGTCGAGTCGAGTACGTTACATGCTATCACTATCTACTCCCTCCCTTCCTGGTGTACTCGCACGAGTGAGGAAGCTCGTGCTCGCGGTAGTCACTCACGTGTATTGACTGTCCGTATATATATACCTGGCTAACGCCAAGGAACTTGCCCAGTCGTGTGCGGTCTGTCACCGTTTCACGTTTAATTTCGACTCGTTACTCCTCGCGTTATTGCCACCCCTTCGTTTCCCTCGGTGGCAGACAGTGGAAAAAAAAGGAGCCCAGCACCATCGACGACAAAATCGGGACGACCAATTATTTACTCATCGTCCCGCGTTCATCGACCACTCATCACAGACGGATAGAAGTCATCAATCTTCCGGATGATTACGAACACTGATAAATCCGTCGTCGTGAGAATAAACCCCGAGACCGCACGACTGCGGAAACGTCAGCGATAATTTCCGATGGAATCCAAGGACAGCATTCACAGATGAGTTACTAAGAGTTCAATTTACTCTCGAAAGCAATTTATTGCGCGAAATTCTCTTCATGGTGGAGCCACGCACGAGTTTCCATCGTCATCGAAGTGAAACCCATCTGATCGTCCCCTCGCAGCGCGAGCGCGCGATCCTCGAATTACTTTCAGTCTCGGCGAGAAATCCGCGCGATGTAGATTCGTGACAAGGCACAATGATCACCGTTTAATTGCCTTAGGAGATAATCGCTCGGTCATTGTCTCTTTGCGCAACTACAGATTGCAGGATCTGTCGGGATTTGTTTCGGATTTTTATCTGGGGGTTTGTGAATCACATCTGGATGGCTTTAATGATCCATCAATAAATCATTATCTCGTCGTATTATAAATGTAGCCTTTGTGAAAAAGAATAAGGCAGAAGAGTACGAGATCACGGATATAGAACTTACAGTTCCCGCTCTCGATCGGAATTTCACGTGAGCGCTTCGTGCTTCCATGAAAAGGGGGAAGCCAGAGAGAGACGGAGAGAACATAGAGACCAAATTGGGTATATAGACGGGAGTTTAAATCAAAATACAAAAGTAAAACGTCAAGTTGAACGAGAGAATCGATATTTCCATCCGAGCCGAGTGACAATGGTCCGAAGGATTCGGTGATAACTCCAACGTCGTACGAGAAAGAAATAAACGTCCTTCGTAAATCAAGCATCTGCATTTGTCCAAGTCTTCCATACGTATAAGAGTAAGTATGACTTTAACGTACACTTCGTAAGCACGTCTTCGCAAAAATTTATGAAAATATACGTTAATTATTTAAATTGTTCGCTCCGAAGGTTGTCGCGACGAATGTTCAAACTTACAAATGACTTATTTACGCGAGAATTGTCAACAAGAACAAAAAAAACAAAGTAGTTCTGCATCCTATAACATGCTAACACTCAAGATTTCCCCAACTATAAAGTCATAAAAACGAAAATAATTATTTTTATACAATAACTTTATACAATATATAAGTACCGCAACTTTTGTAATGTCGCATAATTGAATGCTATTTTGTCTCAATTTTCTAACTTTAATGATACTTTTTTTCTCGAATGGTTCTTTGTTGCGTGTACAACTGGTCATTAAATGTTGCAACCTCTTTTTTAAAAAAGTGCAACCTTTTATGACTGGCTGTGACTTTAAATGTGTTACGCGCCGCTGCTCGGTAAGTTATCAACATATAGGTAATGATTTAATAAATGATAGAAAATGACGTAAATACGTTTTGTTTTTCGTTTAAAAGATCGTTGATTAATTAATTTACTTGCGCGTGTCAGAAACAATTGGCTGTGTTCAGCGGAAAAAGTAACTTTGCAATTGTAAGATATTTTTAATATGATTTGGTTCTTGCCTTTATGGTTTCTCTTGGATGTAAATGTATAAATCATATTCAATTATATTATATTATAGAATCTTACAAGAGTTGCAAAGCTGCTTTTTCTGCTGAACGCAGCTATTACAGACATATTCTCTCAATGATTACATACATACATACAAACATACATACACAGATTTGTTTAAAATCTTTACGAGATTATTCCATTGAGTCTTTACGAGAAAATTTTAACGGCCGACTATATGCCAGAGTTGAAATTGCATTGCAAAATGTTTGTAAAGTGTTGTAAAATCTAGAAGATAATTTAAAAACAATTAGAATGCCTTACTATTTTTGTAAACGCAATTTCTAAGAATTCATAAAAATGTTTTATTGTCCCATTTTTTATAACATATTTTAACAATGCATAAAACACAAAACAAAACGTTTTTTTTCGATTGTTAAATACTGTACAGCTTAATGATTTTTCTGAAGTAATTAAATATTTCCGAGTAAAAATTATTTCTGGTAAAAACGGTTCTGGTTCGACTTTAAATTCATCGAAAAGTCTTTTATTCAAAATAACAACAATGACGCATGCATAATAAATCGTATTGCTGTGCTACATTTACGAATAATGGTAAGCATTTATGAATATAATACTATGCTAATATTTGCCAAGAATATTTGATAGAGCGACGCGCAGCAGTTACGTGCAATTAATCTTTTTGTAAATGAACATTTGTATCAGGGATAAAGAAGAGAGACTGTGAATTTAGCTGATGTGAGCTAAAGAGAGCGTTAACAATCTATATTGTATGCTCGACAAACGATGGATTTAAGGCACTGATTTTAAGTGATTCTGTTCGATGCGCATTTGCTCCGTCGTTAATATACGATGAATGACCGATCCGATAAAAATGATCCGAAGAACAATATTTACATATTTGTACTAAATATCATTGTAGATATTTACATTGTTATCAAATATCGGCTATCGCGCAATGGAAGTGACGTGACGAGACAATCGGACGCGAGACCTTTCAATGTGCAATAAGTTTTGAAAGATACGTTGAGATATAATACTTTACACACTGCATCAACTTACTGACTAGCTAAACAAAAAAAAAGTAATCGCGTCATCAATTAATTATTATATTTGCAATAAATTATTGAAATATAATGCAAACATTAGACCGTTCAATGCAAATAAATATATATTTAATATAAATGTAAATATATTTTACAAGATTTTTGTAATATTATCGACAGCTTTTTGTGTAAATAATCCTAACTTGTGAAAATTAAAACGTCTCAACTGTTATATTTTATTTTTTGCCGTGCAAGAGAAAAATAATAATAAAATGTGATAATTTCGAAATAATGGCTGCCCGTGTTATGTAAATTGAGTACTTCAAATTATTCTTTAAGTCGTTTTTAAATATCAAAAATAATTTGAGCTCGTAGAATGCAATAATTACACCTCGCTACAAAGTAAAATAAAAATTATAACGATAAAAAATAACGAACAGTGGATAGAATTCTTTCGAAATCGCGCTGGGAATAATAAGAGCTACGTGGCCACTTAATTTGATCCTTGATATATATTTATCTATAAGACTTCTGCGAAGTAATCTAGAACTAATTTACTGATTAATTTATAAAGAATTGTTACGTATGGCAAAATATATCGACAGATATCTTGCTATGTCATGTCTCTCGATGACGTATTAGTGTAAAAATAAAAATATTATCTAACACACTTCTTTTTGGAGAGAAATGCTTTCCCTCACGTTTTTTCGATATCATCAGAGTTATAGTACGCTAAGTATTATACACGTTATCAGAAAAATTAAAACCCTTTAATCAAAGCAGAACTCTAATCAAGTTACTCGTACACAATCTTACACAATCTTTTATAATCGAATTTAATTATTATAATTTCAAAATATTAATAAAAATCGTATAACAAATTTGAAGACATAATCAATTACAATATATATTCTTGTGGATATAATACATATAGACGTTCTTACAATCATTGTTATAATTACGATATTAAACCTTTCGTTATGACTTATGAAACGTTTGATATTCTTTCAAGGTTTCCACCTCCGCAAATTGCAACCACAGATTGTCCTTGCGTACCCTCTTGACATTATTCTTCGTGGAATATTTATGAGATGTATGTTTCAATTGCGCGAGTCCTTCCCGACGTTGAAGTCTCTCGTATATGCGTTACGTGTGTACCCGCTCAAACGATCAAGGATCTTCCGAGAATCCACGATCGTACATTCAGATCCGTTTGTTACCATCGAGTGAGATCATTCGGAGTGCGTACGTTGTTCGCGTAATGTCGAGTCATTTTCCTCGCCGCTTTTACGTAAAATGGCGAAAGCAGATCAATAATCGGTCGCTGCTATCGGCTGGCTGCAATCTTGAGAGCGCAGGGGGCCCTCTTACACAACGCCGCGCTTTTTTATCTCCCATTAATTTCCCACGCGAATCTCGGGTTGTCCGTCGGGTCGCAATCCACGAGGAATTTTCGTCATCGGCCGTCGAAACTGCGCGCATGGTTTTTACTGGCGAACAAACTTTGGAGAAACTTTTTAAGAAAATTGGTCAAGGTGAAGCATCATATGATGACGTCCATTTGTCAGATTTATATCGTACATATACGTGTTAGAACCGTATTTCTTTTTACGTAACTGACCACTTTTTGTCGATAGATCTCTAGAAATTCGCACCTCTTGTTGCTGCTCCGTTTTTCACGCTCAAATTTCTTTCGTCATTCTCGTTATATATTCGCCGTATCTCGATAAATCAAATCCGATAAAATTGATAATCGATAATAATTGAGCGCATGCTGCCTTGAACTAAATACTGCGATTCGCCGATAAACTTTCAACCAGTTTTTCACAGATCTTATTATTGCCTTGTCAAATTTTTGCAACTGATTAAATAATACGATATTCGATCTTTTTATGGATCGCGTTTCTTTATTTAAAGAATTATTTTAATTATAATGGGCAAATTAAAAGTGATATATATCCAAGACTTTTTTACAGCGTGTTATCATAAAAAATAACTTCGCGCAAAGAGAAATTCGCGGATTTCTCATTCAACAAGTATTTGTTAATATTGACTCATAGCTTTCAGGAGCAAAAAGAGTAATATATCAGTACTCACGGTGAAGTAAAACGTGACTTGGCTTTGACTTTAGTATTTCCTCTTATCAAAGAATGTCAATAATACCTACAGCTTTATCAGTCTTTTTTTTCCGTGACGCGTTACGCGGACGTAGACGCGAGTGTAAAGACTGGACCAACATAATATCATTGATAATATCGATATGAATTGAAAGATATCGAATTGAATACAGAAAGGAAGTTGCAAGCATGTTCATCCTTTCGAAAGCTTCGCAAATTGTTATACTGACTTAGCGTAAAAAAATCGCGGTCAGCGTTTGTTTGGCTGATCATTTTTCATATTTACAATATGATACGGCAATGAGGAAGCCTTCCGTTTCCTAACAGCATGCTTAATACGATAACACTTATCTCATTCAATGCGCCGGCAATTCTTTTTATTCCTAATTATAAATTAATCGCTTTTTCGACAGCTCAACGTACATTAACGAAAATTACAAGACGAAAATGATAAGAATGTTAATGTTGAAATGACGCACTTTTTGTTGTTATAAGGAATAATTTCTAAGTTTATTTCTATACTTATACAATTTTATCCAACAAATAAAATTGTATATAAAATTGTGAATGAATAATTAGAACATTATTTATTTATTTAATTCTGTAACAATTAATAAATAAATAATAACAATTTACTCTTTAATTATTATTAAATCATGACACAAAAGTGAATTAATATATGTATTTAATAATCAATTTTTCTCTGTCTTTCTTTTTCTCTCTCAAGAAATCTCATGTAATATTGTTACTCTTACGACAGGATCGCCATGGGTCGAGCGGAGAAAGAGCTGTCGGGCAATCCTATGACGGAATTTAGTAGCAGGTACTTTCGCCATATCATTAATATTCGATGCTGTATTATTTGTACAATGACCCAAACAAAAAAATATACAAACATTGATTATAATGTGAATGTTCGCTGATCGTGTCGTGAAGATCTCGCTGATATTGTTCATACGCGATAACAATGCCAAAATCTTATCGATAATAATTGAATTGTGCATGATCGAGGGCTTTCTTAATGAGCATAGTCATTCTTAAGCGATAAGCGTTAATCACCGATAACGCGGCTTCTGTATACGCAGTGTCTGCAAAAGTAATCGTTATTGATTAAGAATAATCGTTGTGGAATGCGATCGTATCGCGATTTTACGCGGAGATAGGAAGCGCATTGTATAGACTTGGTTTTCCTTGTAACACTTGATCGAGATAGTCTTAATTTTTGTTAACGTTGTCACACATGGTGGGGTCGCTAAGTGATAAATGATACTGCATAAATTTTTGCTCAAGATTCTAAAAAATGTTCTGTCCGAAATTAACACGATACCTAGTAGAGCACAATTCTAGAAATCTTAGAATTTAATACATTATGAACATTATGATATATAAAATTTGCAGTAAGAACAACATGACTTTTCAGCGAAACAAAATTTTTTTTTATGAGAGATAAAATATTGTTACATATTTTGATATTAATCTAAATGTTACATATTTTAAATATTACATATTTTATTAGCAAATGTTATTTTTTAATGTAGTTATAGAAATATAGAAAATAATAAATAGTATAGAAATGTTATTGAAAACACTAATTCCGAATATAATTTATATTTATATTATTAATATAATATATAATTATATATTAATATATTAATGTTTTGAGATAATAACAATATGAATATACGAGCACATAAAAAATATCATGAAAACAAAGAGAGCATCTTTCTTTTACAAATATATTTATTTTTAATGTCCCGTTAATTCCATCCCTAATAAAAAAGAACTACTAGTGCAGTAAAAACACTACTGAAATGTAGTAGTGGCACTGCTGGTATAGCAATTGTACCGGCAGTGCCACGACTACGTTTCAGTAGTATTATCATTACATTAGTAGTACACTACATTAGTTCTTTTTTACGAGGAATGTGCATATGTTATTACAGTCTTTCCTTATCTTGTATTCTGTATTTAATGCTTTGTATAATAATAATTTATTCTATTTTGCATTTCAGTACGAAGATAGCACCGAATATCGGCGAATATAAAGAAAAGGATGAATTATACGATCCTTTCGAGCATCGTGATAAGCGCAATGCGACCTCGTAAGTTTCATTCTAGAATTTAGAATCTTCATCGACACGTGTCAAGCAAGTTGACATATATTTTTCATATTCTGACGATAAAATACTGTGCATTGCAACATTTTGTCTTTAACATACATTAACATTATGTTATTCAAAAATATAAAAACGCAGTTGCTTATATAAATTGCGAAAAGCAGTCATTTAATTATCAAAATGCGCGTTAATGATTTTAATACATTAGATAATAACGACAATAAAATACATCTTTTCACAATAGAAATAAATTTATTTACATTATTTAAATAATAAAAACATAGGACATTATAAAATATTACATTGGAGAAATTAATTATCTTATGAGAACAATTAATTTTCTTGAGAACAATATAATTTTATGAACTCAAGGTTCGTCTATTCTCACACTAAATAAACACAATTCATTCTCGCTTAATTAAATTTAATTGGCAATATGCGTAACTTTCTACAACCGGTTGCATTTTGCACGTAGCAAAGGAACAAACATCAGTAACTTAACGTTTTACCATGCGTTTCAGGGATCTGGGCGCCTTGGCGCATCTCCTGAAATCCTCTCTGGGGACGGGAATTCTGGCTATGCCGCACGCGATAAAGAACGGCGGGTTAGTGTTCGGCGGAATCGGCACGATCATAATCGGCATGATTTGCTCCCATTGCGTACACATACTGGTGCGTACGTCTCACGTGCTCTGCCGGCGCACCAAGACGCCGCAGATGTCGTACGCCGACACAGCGTACGCGGCCTTCCTTTGTGGACCGAAGCCCGTCAGGCCTTGGGCCAACAGCAGCAAGATATTCGTGAACACGGCGTTATGCGCGACATACGTGGGCGGCTCGTGTGTTTACGTCGTGTTTGTTTCTAAGTCCCTGCAGCAGGTATGCATATCTTGCATAATTCATCACAAAGATCGTTTATCTATGCTAAGCCGTGCTTGGCACAGCTTATTAATATACATTTTTTGCCTTATTCCGTTATAACTTACATAGTTCCTAAGTTTAGTAAAATTATGCAATCTAATGTAAGTCTAATGAGTACAAAATTGTTTTACATACTTTTACATTATAACTACCATTTAGCATGTTTATTTTCTCATTATTTACCATTTAAATATTAGGCATTAAGCATTAACCAGGTTAATTACATGAGAACTAAGAGTTGACATTTTCAAATTAATAGCTGAAAGCCCTCGTAAAAAAAAACTACTAGTACAGTAAAAGCACTGCTACATTTCAGTAGTGTTATCACTAGTAGTTCTTTTTTACGAGGGAGTACTTTACAAAGTACAACTCAAGGTTATTTTAATGAATTGACCGATGCTCTGCAATTTTTACGATTTCGCGATATCGAATAAGTGTTTTTTTTCTATACACAATAGTTATTACACTTATTAATCAGCAGATAACTTTAGTTCAGTTATTGTTGGCGAAGCAATAACAAAAATATATTTGATAATGTAGTGATAATAATTGATAATTATCGAGTAGTTTATTGGATAGAGATTTTCCAATAAACTTGTAATTATTGTTAATGTGTGATTCTTATCGTTTATATATAATATAAAATTTTTCTTTCGCTAATTGCTCGTAATTACTGATTATATTGCAAACACATTCCAGAATCATTATCTTATATCTACGTTGATTAATTGATTGACACTCCACGATTTTTATAACTGTTCTTTAAGTTACGTAAATAAGTCTTGCTTTTGTTCTTGTCTTTGAAAATATATAAGAAAATTATATATTATAATTCAAGTTACATATAGTGCAATTGATTTCAATTAGAAGAATCTAAAACTAGAATTCGTAATAATTCTGACTTTTAAAACAGAAATGTGGATACGAAATTATGAAGAATATAAAGCATTAAATTTTATTATTTAATAATACTGTAATAAAAAGAAGGCGTCAAATTTCGACTTTTATTGCAGACATCACTTGAAGGTTTGTTTTTTTTCGAACGAGCAAGTGCCCCATCTCGCTCGTTTTTTCTTCGTGAAACTGTATCGCGATATCGTTTCTAACTTAAAGATCTAATCGGAAGACTAGATGTAAATACGTTAACTTTAACAGATTAAAGACACTCTTGAAATTGTGGAAAAATGTCAAAAAAACGATCACATCGCCATTCCATAATTAATTCGCGTGACCGAATCGATTTTTTGCATCACTGCAGTGCGTCTCGTTTTCTTTTCAGATCGCTGAATACAACAGCGGGAGGCCCATAAACATGCAATTATTCATTTTTTCGCTAATCCCGGCACTGGTGTTACTCGGTCAGGTGCGCGATTTGAAATACATGGTGCCGTTCTCGATGCTGGCGAACACCTTCATGATGACCGGCTTCGCGATCACGCTCTACTACATCTTCAGCAATAGCGACCTGCAATCGTTCAAGAACGACAAGCTGTTCGCCTCGGTGGAGCAGCTGCCCCGTTTCTTCGCGACTGTGATATTCGCCATCGAAGGTATCGGCGTTGTAAGTTCCAATTGTTACGATGACGATTAGTTAATATAAATATACGTATATAAATAGCTGATCGTCGCGGCTCTTCATTGGACCGGAAAAAGAATAGCATGGAATATGAGAAATAGTTTGACGTAGGAAAACAAAAAACTGTTGCATTTACAAGCAGATGAATTCGAAAAGTAATCGCGTCTCTTTCGCGCATTTTCCTCTTTCGAGCCCTACTCGAATCCGATACGATTGTGATTCGCAGGTGATGCCGGTGGCGAACAACATGAAGCAACCGCACCACTTCCTGGGGTGTCCTAGCGTACTCAACGTCACGATGACGATAGTCGTGAGCCTATACGCCATGATGGGGGTGTTTGGTTACCTCGCGTACGGCGAGGATTCAAAAGCCAGCATCACGTTGAATTTGCCAACAGAGCAAGTGTGAGTGCGGGAGCATCTCCCTTTTGCTAAATGCTACTTGCCGTTTTAACACATGCGTTGTAGACGTGATGAGAGTAATTAATGTAATGTTTTAGTCTGGCCCAAGTGGTGAAGGTCCTCATTGCCGCGGCCGTTCTCTTCACTTACGGCCTACAGCTCTTCGTGCCGCTCGATATTATATGGAATTCCATGAAGCACTTGTTTAGCCATAAGTACGCGGCCATTGGCGAGACGGTGATGAGGATATGCATCGTTATGCTAACAGGTATAAAGTGCTTTATATCATTCGGACGCGAAGTTAAGCGGCATCTACAATGAGACTTAAGACTTAAGATTTAAGAAAATTGACCAATCATATATAGTCGATTATTCATCTCATTGTAGACGATGCTTTAATCGCTACTTGTGTTAAATTCAGTTAAATTTGAGTAGCTTGTAAATAGAAACAAGTTCAATCTGGGCTGTACATACACAAGCAAACGATTAAAATGTACATCAGACGAGGAGAACGTCGATTGAATTTTAAGAATATAGATATGTAAAAATTTTTCGACGATAAAATATTTCGGCTAGAACACGAAGTGAGTGTTATTAAACGCGAATAACCGGTTGTCGCGGGCGTAGGTGATTTTTTTACCTGATTGGAAAGGATAACAGAGAATAGAAATAGTTTCGATACAGGAAAGCAACTGTTGCTTTTATAAGCGGATGATTCACAAGTCGTCTGCATCGTTCGGCGACTCGTGCCTTCTTTCGTACCCATAAATGGATCTCTGGAAAGGACGTTGTTTTTAGAAGGATTTACGGAGTAAACATAAATTTTTATTTCACAGATTTATCTTCTGGAATGTTGTATCTTACACACTATAAATTTTCTCTTTTTTTTTCTTTTTTTTCCGGACTTTAACAACTTTGAGGCGCAAATTATAGGCTTAAATTTAAATAGTAATGTGATGTAATATTGCGAAGAAATATTTTTCAACTTTTTGTCGAGGGATTTGTGTTACGTGAGATACTACTGATCTATCACGATTGCAATAACGAGTCCAGCGAAATGGTTAGATAGTCATCAAGTTATACTTAAAGAGACGGCGTGTTTTTCATACCAACGGGCCTCAAAGAGTTAACGCCGCTTTCCCGTAACCTTTTCCGGTTGTGTTTTTGCCGCGATATTCCAGCGATCGCGAGACGGAGAAACCACTATTAAGCCGCGATGAATCACGCGTTCCCGGTAGAGAGGAGGTCGGTCGCAGACCCGATCGGGGTGAGCCGTATGAATGATCGGTGTCACCCACTTACTCCAAGTGCGTGTACGCGTGACGCGCCTTTTTGTTATCATCGAGTGCACCGAGAAAGAAAGGAATTGCTCTGCCCGCGCGGTGTCTGCCTGCTTCGGCTCGGATCAGTTCTTTCGTTCGATGCGATAGAGATTCGGCCCACTTTTTTTGCGTCGCGTCCGATTCGATTTCTCATTGTTGCGGTAGATTTTTTCGCCCATTAGGAACTTTCGATTAATCACATAAACATGTCGTCTGCACGAATATCTAAATACTGCGAAAAAATGTGTAGTTTGTTTACAGCTTTCTCGCTTATTTTTCCTTTATTCGACATTTGTGTAAAGTATAATAAAAATGTCATGCTTATCGATGGCACGATAACTAAGATCATCACGGGATTAGAGTGCTCGAAAGGAGGAGAGTTGCCCCCCCCCCTGGCTTTTTTTTGAAATATAGATAAAATCGGACAATTATATATCACTCAAAAAAACGGGAAAGATATCAGCTGATATACTTTAATATTTTAAAATACATGAGATGAATATTATTACTATTGTTGAGAATTTTATTTTTTTTAATGTAACTTTTCGCGCTCAGACAAGGTTTCTTTTTAAATACGTGTGAGCATCTGTAAATGTAGGGTAAACATAAACATTAGACGTTAGCGATGGTCATAAGACTCATAAGATTATATATTGATGCCTTCTCCTTTTTCAAAAATTTCTTCGGGATTTGTGGTCATAATTAAAATATGTATTCTGTATACGTTTAATATGAATATGTGAGCTTCGATTCAGGAAGGTATAATGATTGATATACTTATATGGTACATTTCGATTCCTTTTTTTTTTACAGTGGTCATGGCGCTGTTAGTGCCCGAATTGGATCCATTCATTTCTCTAGTCGGTGCAATATTCTTTTCTATCCTCGGCATCAGCATCCCAGCCGTCATCGAGACGATCTCGTGCTGGGAAAGCCATTTGGGCGTCTTCAAGTGGCGGTTATGGAAGAACTCTTTGCTACTTATATTCTCGCTATTAGCGTTAGCATTCGGTTCATGGATCTCAGTGCTAGATATAATCGAGCTTTATAAAAAGTAAATGTAAATTTTAATATTTTATTTAGCGTTTTATTTCAATTTCTTATACAAATGGAACTCCAGTGTCGACAAGAAACGCAACGAGGTTTTTTTATAACGAAACAACTAATTAGCGCGATACGCTTTTACACATTCTCGTTATTTGCGTTTGTATTTGACTCGTGGATCTCAGTGTTAGATATAATGAATTATTATAGTTGATAATAAATTTTACTGAGTTTACTGTTTTATTAACGTCTTTATACACTTAATTTCCTTTAACACCTACTGTCAACTGCTTAAAGATGACATAAATCGAAGATTTTAGTATGAAAAAAAGTTCCATGCGGCTAACAATAAGACTTATTTGTTTGAATTACGATTTTTAAACTTTATGTATAATCGTCACGAATTATATATGGATCATATGTCATTCCTTCGATTTCAAAATCTTGCTTCATCGATACATGCTAATGGAGAAAGTAACATTCGTGAACATTCGCGAGCAAGTTTCGATGGCTTGTTGACTGACTTTCATGTCGAGTTATGCTCTCTTGTGATCTGTCATCAGCATTCCTATCGTCTCGTGCGTGATCGCATCCGAAGCGAGGTTTCTCGTCCGGATTCGATTCGCGTGATGCACATGATGCAATAAATAAGGATTGGCATGCAGAAAATGCGGCTCGGGAGAAGTAATTATACGTGTGCCATTCATTTGCGAGATATATTCGTTCGGTTATAAAATCCGCTGCTATTAACCGTTCAATTATTGCAAAATATTGAGTACTTTCGAAATGCGCGATTGTACTATATAAGGATAATTTAATTAATTGATCTTGATATCTTACAAACGAAGTATTTAATAAAAAATCAATTTTATTTAAATACTTTCGATCGTATATAGTTGGCAATACATTTCTTAATTTCTGAGATAAGCAATTGCGCTATCTTATTAATTAAGTGTTGGCCACGCAATGCTCTTGACGGGCTCGTGAATAATGCATGTTAATTGATAAGGAAATCACAATAATACTTAATGCGTCTCACAATATAGGTTTCGATGATCGTTACGTATACTTTTTGATATGTAAAATTTTTATCTAGAATTTGTAATAATGCGAAAAATATTGTTCGCAAGCGTAGGGTAGCGTTTGATAGAAATAATGATAGAGATAAAATTACTAAATCTTATAATTATAAATAAACGCACAATATTTTTATATTCTGATGTTAAAAATTAGCATTTGCGCAAATAAGATAGATAATTGTCGCACATAACATCAAAAGTAGTATAGCGCGCGAAGAAACTGACGACTCCGAGAGATATATGCAATTTCGATCTCATAATCAAGTTTTTCTAGAAAGTTTCAAAAATTCTGACAACCACGATCGACCAACGCTCGATACATATATATTTTAATGATTACAATATCATATCAACTGACTCGATTTTTTTTCATTATACTTATATATATATATATATATATATATATATATATGTATATATATATAAAAAGTTTTATATAAAGCTTTCTATAAAGAGAATGCCGAGAAAAAGGAAATCAAATAATCCGTTAATCTTATTTGAAAATATAGGCTATTAATCAACAATGAGCGATTAGCGCTGATAAAGCTGCGGAATTTTTATCAGAATTTTAATTAAGGACATTCAGATTCTGAATTATTTTTTTTTAATTTAAACTATTTACAGAATTTTTTAAATATTAGATTTCGTACTATTTGAATATAAAAATTCGAATAATTTTTTAAATAAATTAAAAAATTTTTACAATTTAACTTTATTTTGTTTTACAAAACGAAAAATTACTTTGCAAATTATACGTTCAAAAGAAATGAAACTTTGCAGATGCGTGGATATAGAATTAGATTATTCATTTTTATATACGATTATTATAAAATATATTGCGAATATACTCTTCACAAAATCGCAACGCATGCAATTCATATAGTAAGTTATATTTATTCTGATTTTAAATAAATTTTTAATTTCTCGAATCAAATGAATTTTAAAATTCTTCAGAAAGAGAAAGCTCCGCATTCCTGTAAACTTACCGATTTCTACCGTTGCGACCATTTTGATAAATTAATGCTCCGTTATATCAATTTTGGGAGGACATGCGGCTGCAGGCACGGGCTGCACACGGCTGCACATGCTGTCATCCGTTGCCGTCGCCAGATGGCGCTACGATGCCGCAATGACGCGTTTCTGGAGTCGCTTCATTCGTAGAGAGGAGTGCTCTTGTACCGAGCGCCATATTCTCGAACGATCGCGCTTGCCGACGAAGTGTAAATAGTTTGCAATCTGCGTGAATACATTGGCTCGGTGGTCCCCGTTTCGGAGGTGAAAATTTGACATTTAATACATCTGTCAAGAGTGGCGTCTCGAGTACGCCCTCGCGTCAATGAATCGCGGCAGGATCGCCAGCGTACGTTTACACTCGAGATCGAGAGCGCTAGAGGCTCCTTCGTAATACATATGTCGGATCCGTGGAGCAGCGCGGACGTCGAATCGCGGGGACTCTACGTGGAGCAGCAGGCGCACGGCGGCGTGTGTCGTAGCCGACAGTAGCGACAAAGAGGAGCGGAGTTGGCCGCCGCGCTGCTCGACTCGACTCGTCGTCGCGAGATACGGTTTTCTTCGCAGCTTTCTCGCGGCGGAGCCGGAGAAAAATCCCACCGCGCGTGGAGACTCGCGACAACACTCGAGCACAACCCGCGATCGTATTTTTTTTTACCACCCTCGCGTCCGCCGTCACCGGCGGCAAATTCGTGCGGCAGCAACGCGGCATAACCTAATCTCCCGGTGGTGATTCGGCCGTTGCGCGCGCGTGTGTGCGTAGTAGGTACGCGTGTTTCTCCCCTCGGCGGCCTGCATTCCGGTATCGCGCCAGGCGACAATGGCAATAAACGAGGACCTCGGTTTCTCCGAGCTCTGCAGGCTCTGCTCGCTCAAGAGCAATCATCAGCTGCAGATATTTGACAAGGAGAGCGAGCAGCGGCAGCTGCTGTTCAAAATACGCTCCTGCGTGCCCATCGTGGTGAGTATATGAGGGACGTGCGAGAGACCTGCACTAACGTGTGATCGGCCCGGAACAGCCGATTCGAGATCCTCGATTCGGGAGCCGAACTTTTCGCCACTCGAAACGTAAGCTTTCGTGTGGCGAAGTGATATCTAGAATTACGCGTACCGCGAGTGCTTGCGCCGAGATATTTTTATACGCGCACACCGTGGTTTCTTTGTGACGGGTAAAACCGCGAATTGAATAAAACTGTGTCATTCAAAGTGTTCCCAAAGCTGTTGAGAGAAAAAATATTTGTTAAGAGTATTGAGGTTTGATTAAAAAATTGCGTCGTTAATTGTGTAACATATGCAGAGCTATCTGCGTTGGCGTGATTTATGAATGGCTATTGTTTTACGCTCCAATGCTCCAGTATTGGAATAATTTATATATCACTTTACTGTTTCGTAATTAAGAATCACATAAAAAAATGTAAGCAGTAAGCAAATCGGCCAATTACGTTCGAGAATTATGTGCGAGAGAGAGAGAGAGAGAGAGAGAGAGAGAGGAGAAAGAAAGAGAAAATGCATTTCTAACATTTTAAAACTTGCCTGCGATTTGCTTATTGCTTAATTTTTATTACTTATATTTTTCTATGTGTGTTACTGGTTTAATACTGAGATAATGAATTTGTTCACTTGGTTATGTTAAAAATAACAATTGTACAATTTTCTTAAAACATATTGATTTTCTTGATTATTTCAAATATCTATTTCCTTTCATTTCAATATGTTTTCATAATATGAGACTTAAAAAAAGAAAGATCGTCAAACTGATTGCTGTAGAGAATCATAAAATCAAATTTACAATTTCGCCAGCTGTGGTTTTAATCAAAGAGTAACATGAAATTATTTTTTGTCGCAGATAGCGAAAGAGGATGGGCTGCCAAAAAATATCTGTCAGAGATGTATATACAAGTTAGACATGTTCTACGAATTTCGTCTCAGCTGCATATCCACGGAGACAATATTGAAAAATTACGCAGAATCCTTGAAGAATATTGTTGCACTTAATAATCAGGTGAGTAAAATTTTCCTTTTATACACAAGGATTATGTAAAATTGCACCGAACTTTTAATCATAGCACAAATTATATCACACCACAGTGCAATGCGCAATAAGTAGCAAGATTGCGATGTGTATTCAGATTTTGATTGTTCGAATTTTTGTGCTATGCACTTTCGATCTGTCTAACATCCAGCGATACGGCAATTTGTAATATTGCGAGAATGATGTACCATTTGGTCTCCATGATATTGGATACACGGATAAACTGTGGATACAGGAAATTTGGTAAAACGGTCACGAGACTCGCCTTTGCATGGACTGAACGAGCGTGTATAAATTACGAAATTTTCGATTTTCGCTCCAATTTTATCGCGGCTGTAACTGAGCTGTTTTTGTCGGCGCACGAAGCGTTGCCGGGTCTCTTTCGTGACTTCGTAAAAACGCGCCCGTAATATTCGCGACGCGAAGCGAAAGCTTTATGTCGACGTATAGCTGCGACGTTTCGTGCGTTGTAAAAGGCTCTTCATGCGACGCCTCGGCACTCGTTCCTTCTCTCCCTATCCCCTTCTCTTCCTTACATGACTCGGTAATCTATAGCGATACTCGGTATCTTTAAAAAAAAAAAAAAATATTGCAACGGAATGTTATATGAAGCTAAAAAAATCAACTCGAATCAATTGAGAATTAATCGAGGAACCGGATTACGAAGAAACTACTAATTGTGAGTGTATCATCAACGGCGCGTGGAGTATATATATATATATATACCGCTGCGTATAGCTCCCTTTTTTTCCTTCTTCTCATACTTTGGTAGCGGCAAGCAGGATAGGATCGGTCGGACGGCAGCCACGGGTCCTGTCGGATGAGGGGTCGCGAGGATGAGGTGGCGGCGGGGGGGGGGTGGAAAGAGGAAACGCGCGCAGGGGCGTCGCTGATCGGTAGCTAGAGGTGCTCGGGTCTCCCCGCTGACCCCTCTTTCCGTGTCTGCTGCACCCGGCGGCGCGCGATCTCAATAATTCCACCCTCGCGTACGCAACGGAGACGCCGGCGGGAGGGGTGAGGAGGGATAAATAGGAGGAGGAGAGAAAGAGGGAGAGAGCGCGAGAGAGAGCAAGAGAGTATGGTATATGTGTGAGTGTGTAGGTGTGTGCGTGCGCAAGGACCGACGTCGCGACGTCTATTGATCGGCGCGTTGCGACCGCGAGACGCGTCGCGCGCACAGAAAGCGAAAGTCGTAATGTACTCCTTTCTTCGCCGTCTCGACTGTCCCCCTTCCCCCCTCCCCCCCGATCCCATTCCCCTCCTATCTGCTTCTGCAACTTATTTCTCTTCCACCTGCCGTGTTTCCTCCTCCTCCTCTCGTCCTCGTCACGTAATAATCTCTACCTATTTGTTTCTTAATTTCTTCTGCTTTTCTTCCAATGCGTTTCTTCGCTGCATCTCATCCTTCTTCATGTGCCTCTTTTCTTGCTTGTATACTGTGTGCGTTCTTCTACCTTGTATAATTTATCTATTTATCTTTGTTTATACGATGTGATGATGCACGTTATAACGTCTTATCTCTTGTCGCTTGAATTTTTTTCTCCTACATAGATACGTTCTTTACAGACGTGTGTATAATTCATTCGTCGTTTACGCATCATGTCCCCAAAGGATCTATAAGTTATAGAACACGGCATAAATCCCTACTCTCTTCTCCATCGCCTTGCTTCCTCTTTCTCCTCCTTTCCTTAATCTCCTTTCTTCGCTTCTTCTCACTGTCTCGCGCTCTCTCTCTCTCTCTCTCTCTCTCTCTCTCTCTCTCTCCCCTCCCCCCCCTACCCTCTCTCTCTCTCTCTCTCCCTCAATCCCCGAATCGCTCTCCTCACCTCCTTCCAAGTTATCCGCTCTTCCCTGCCGATCCGGCGGTCCTAGGCGCACAGGTGCAACGTGAGTTGCCGAGGTCCGCGCGCGCACGTCCGAGAAACCTGTTTCGAAACCCGGGATACCCCGACGAGAGATCGACGCGACGCAGCCTCGTTACGTGGGTGACTCTTTCTTTCTCTTTCTTTCTTGTTGCCGGCGTTCCGGCGGCGGCGGCGGCGGCGGCGGCGGCGACGGCGAAGGGCAGCGCGACGAAGAGGGTCGCGAAACGACGTCCTCGTCGTCCCTGGCGTCTCTCCCATGAATCGCTCCCGTGTTGCGCGAACGTGTGTGCGCGAACACGCGCGCGCGCGCGCGCAAGTTCTGCCTCCCCTCCTTCTTTCTCCCTGCGCCTAGGGTATCGCCCTCTCTCTCTCGCTCTCTCAATGTCAGTGTCAAGGTCAGCGGGCCGACGCACCGGTCGCGCGGAGCGCCGCCGCCGTCGTCGCCGCCACCACTGTTGCACCACACACAACGGCGATGCTCCTCATGCATTCGATATTGCTCGCCGGTAGTACCGTACATCTACATTCTACATGTATGTACGCTGAACGCGAGAGAGAGAGAGAGAAAAGGGAGTCATAATAGAGGAGCGGACAGAATCGAGCCATCCAAACGAGATCGCGTATACCGCGCCGACACCCCCACGCGGCCGGCGGCACCCTCGACGTCGCCGCCGCGAGCGGCCGTTTGGCTCGTTCCTCGTCGTCTCGCTTCCTCCGACTCGGTCTCGACCGTTCGCATGCCGGGGATATCCGCCCCGGTACATCGTAACGCGCGTCGCGTTGGTGCGTCGTCGGTTATCCTCCAGCGCGCGCCTGCGGGCCCCCACCTCCCTTCGGAGTTTTTCTTTCCTCGCCCGCATTTTTTTCTTTCTCTCCGTCTCTTCCCTCTCTCTCTCTCTCTCTTTTTTTCTCGCTCTCGACGTATCCGCATCTCTGTCGGTCTCTGTTACATCTCCCAGCCTCCCGGCTCTCTCTTTCTCGTGCGATCCCTTTCGTATAGTAGCGCGGTACACGCCAGCGAGAGTGATACACACGAAATCATCTCTCCGCGCGCGCGCATATACATATAAACACACACCTTCCGTTCCTCCCTGGCCGATCGGTCGGCCAAGCGGGCCGGCCGGCCGGCTCCGTTTACGTCTCTCTCTCCGTCGCTTCCCGATCGTGTCTCCTCGTCGTATCGGCGTGCCCGCGCGCGCGTTCGCCTCTTCTCTCTCTCTCCCTCTCTCCGTTGCACCCTCGGGGCGCGCTACGCTACACGCCGGCCGGCCGCCGCGCGCGGCGCGGCGGCGGTGCATTCCGCGGGGAACCTCCGCTCGGCATCGTTTGTATCGCGCGTCGCTCCGTCCCGTGTGTGTCACCGGCTCTGCCTTACTTCTTTCTCGTCTTCCCTCCTTCCGCCTCCCCGTTTTGTCCTCACGCACACACACACACATACATCGCGCTGCCTCTTTCTCTCTGCCTCTCCCCCCTCTGAACCCACCCTCTCTCTCTCTCTCTCTTTCTCTCTTCCCCTCCCCTTCACCTGCGGTTCCGTCTTTCTTTCCTCTCTTTCTTCTTCTCTGCGAGTCCGACGGCGAGGGAAACGTCTCCCCGGCCGTCTCGCGCTTATCCCCTCCGCGCGCCGTCGCGGCTGCTTTTTTTTCGCCTCTTTGTCCTTGCCATCCTCCCGCGCCGGGAATCGGCGGCGGCTGCGGCGGCTGCCAGCGCGTCGCGGCTCTCTCTCGCCTCGTGAATACTCCCGCGGATGCTCCTTCGAAACGCACGGAAAGCGCGTGAAAGCCGAAAAAATTGCGCGCAGAGCTCGCGCATGTCAGTGCTAACGTTTGTATATCGAGTGAACTGTCTCGTCGAAGCGTGTCGGTTATCGTCTTGCTCTGACGCATCCGGAGTAGCCTAGTGTGCGTGTGTATGTATGTATGTGCGTGCGCGCGCGCGTGTGTGTGTATGTGTGTGTGGAACCTCGTCAACCCCTCCGACAATGAACACTAGATTTCCGTCGTCGCTGCCCCTTCGCCGTCGGTTTGTTCGTCGGTCGGTGCTGTGATTCACTGAAAATCTGGACCGTACGATCTATTTTGGAAAAAGTCTGTTTCCCTCCGATCGAAGGTGTTCTTGGAAGGTGCTCCGACCCTTTGATTCCGGAGTCCAACGGAGTCTTCCTTGGAGCGTGGGTTGGACTTAACTCCGTTTTAAACGCGGTAAGCGCATCCACAGGAAAAAAAAAGAAAACGAGTGGCCGTTTCTTTCGTGAGGACGATCGACTCGAGCGACGGCTTCTCTCTCCCTGTCTCTCTCCTTCCGGAACGTTCCTTGTTCCTCGACCTTTATTGCACGTTCTTACATATATATATATATATATATATATAGAGAAATTCTGCAAGAGATTTTAAATTCTACCAAGCAATATTTAAAATTATATATATATATATATATTTTTTTTAATATTGCTTGGTAGAATTTAAAATCTCTTGCAGAATTCCTCTTGCGGAATCCCTCTTGCGGAAACGCAGAAATGATTTTTGACCCTTTATTGCGTCAGTAGATTGACAATCTCAGTAGATTGTCAATCGATAGCGAGAGGGATTGAGCATAGAGAGAAAAATTGATCAGCGGATTACGATGACGATTATTTAGAGCACTCTCCATAGTTGCTTCCCTAACGCGCGCGCGTGTGTGATAGCTTTCCTCATTGTCCTTTCCTCTGAAGGACCTTGACGAGGCATTAGCGTACGCCTGCCTCGTCGTCGGGAGGGGAATGCTAAAATTTGCACTTGCACTGTGTTCTGTACAATTACACGAGAAAGAAAATTTGAAACATTTGAAACATGTCGCATTTGATATATCGTTGATAATACGTCAAATAAACATTTTACAATAAGAAGTGCAATAATGTAATAATGATATGAGCTGATTTCGGAGCACAGTTATTATCGTTAGTGGATTAAGAACAGCAAAAAATAATTAATTCTGTTGCAATTTTTGAACAATTTTATTGTGCACTCTCTATAGCTTACGACAAGAAATTATATTTTAATCGCTTTCGCGAGATTACCCGGCCTACGTAGTGTGTACACTGTATGCACGAATTTCCGGATCTTCGTAAAGCCATCTTTGATGCGCCGTTCTTGTGTCAGACGACGGTTTGACGCCATAGAGTACGATACATATTCGGGACACGCCGAATCTCCAGATTTCGCGTTTCTCCATTATAAGCTTGCATTCGTAATTATATTTTTTTAAATAAATTAACATTTTGAATAATTGTAACGTTGTAAAACGTCGACGAATTCACTTATTTGGAAAGTAAAGCTGTATTTTAACAAGTAACAATAAGTTATGTCGCATCGATGGAAAAAATTGCAAACGAGCTTAACAAAAGATACATTTGTTTTTCCGTCAGACTTTTACGAATGCCGCGTGACATTTCTCGCGTTGTTAACACTTTGATCGCCTAATTTCTAAAGCTAATTTCGGCTAATTAAACTTATTATGTATCTAGTGTGTTATTTTAATACTTTATTATTTTCTTAATGTCTTAATATAATTTATATTATTTCTTTAATCTGTGATATTTAATTTAAAATTTCTTTTTTCTTTCTTAATTGGATAAATAAATCCGTCACTCACAAACGAGTGATGGGTCCCTTGGAAATGTTACGCGTCATCCAAATATGGGCAGTTATTCCGACATGGCACTAAAAGTATTAAATAAATAAGAATTGATTAAATTGTTGCATTGACATGCATATTAAAATCAATCGACATTTTAGGGTACGGACAAGGACAAGATGTCAAACGGCGGGCAACAGCAGCAGCATGCGAGTTACGCAGAATCGCACTCTGTGGCACACGCGGCACTGGCTCAGCATATGGCTCAGCAGGCCGCTCAGGCGAGGCTGACTGGACCTGGGCCACACGCGGCCCCGCAGCCACCGAATCCTACGTTCACCGTGCCCGACGACGGGCTCGGCTACGACGATGGCATAAGAGTGCTGCGCTCCATTGGAACATGGTACGTAAAAGGGTACTTCGACGAAAATTTCTTCGTAGAATCTCGCTTTTCATAAGTGAGAGATCTTCCACAGACATTCTCGAGTCCATTGTTCGATTGCAATTTTTAAGATATGTACAGGGTGTCTCAGGATTTAACGGACAAACTGCGGGATATATTCTGCAAGTGGAGATAAGAGAAAAATGTTATATGAAGTTTGGTTAGAAGGGCTTCATATACAAAGTTCAATATAAATAAATATTGAAACGGAATATGAAATAGGAAACAACGGATTTTTCATTGCGCAGAATATTAAAGTATATACTTCGTATATGGAGTTTCGTGTATGGAAAGGTCGACCGTGTTTATCTCTCGTCTGCTTCATATTTACTATTTTTAAACAATTTACATCATTTATTATTTTTAAACGATTTACATCATTTATTATTTTTAAATGATTTAGCATCTTTTTTTAACTTTACAGAATATGCTTCCGCAGTTTGTCCGTTAAATCCTGAGACACACTATACATAACGTTTTTACGCGAAGTATCTAACGATCTACCTTCACAAATGTCAGAAATAACGGTTACGAAGGAGAGAAGTGCTTGCCAGAAACGCTTTCTATAAAATGTTCTTAATATTAAAATTCCATTTTACTACCTACTTTACCATTTTTATATCTAAATTTTAAAGCTGCGCGATCAATTGCTTTCCGCGTTGAATTCTACATAATCATATTTTAAATACTTTCCAGCAGATATTATCGCGGCATAGTAGTCATTTAGTTTTTATTTTGCAGGTCTTCGGATTATTCTGCAATGCGTCCCAGCATGATGCCGGCATTTCCTGGAGCGGATCAACAGTTCGAAAGTAGAGCGCCGGCGGTAAATCAACCATTACGGACGACGACGACAAACAGCGTGAATGTTCGTCCGGGATCTGTTTCGAAGGCGACTAACACGGGCGAGCCAACGACGAAAGCATTCGCCTGCACTGTATGCGGCAAGGGGCTCGCCCGTAAGGATAAACTCGTCATTCACATGCGTATACATACTGGAGAGAAGCCGTATTCCTGTGAGGTTTGCGGTACGTAAATTATGTTGCGTGTGGACACACTTTACTATTGGATAGAAATTATTTTTAAACCGCAAATCATCTTCGATCCATTCTAAAAGGAACCAATTGAATGAATCCAATGTGTGTTGCAGGTAAAGCATTTGCACGTCGAGATAAATTGGTCATCCATATGAACAAGCTCAGACACAGACCCGGTGTTTCACCTCTGTCGGCGCCTACCACACCAAGATCCGATCAGCATCAGCAGCAGCAGCAGCAACAGCAACAGCAGCAGCAACAGCAGCAAGCACAGCAGCCATCTCGCCAAGATAGCATTCACAAGCTGAAGGAGGAGCCCGTGAGCTGGGCCTGCGAACTGTGCGGACGATCGTTCAGCACCAGAGAGGAATGGACGCAACACGCTCGGTTAGTAATCTCTTTATACCTTTTCAATGTCTAATATATCTAAATTTTAATTTAATGTCTTCAACTTGACTTTCGTCGATCGCAGATCTCATTTGGAGGGAATGCCGCCGCAACACGCCGCTCCGTACTTCCCAGGATCTGCCCCGCCGCCGCAATCTTACGCCGCCGAGAGACATTTTTGCTTGATGTGCCGCGCCGACTTCACGGATAAGACCGAGTTCATGTTCCATATACGTACGCACGGGCAACCGTCGGGCGGTAAGCAGAGCAGCGGGGATGCCGCGACGGCTGAACTCATTGCCAGAGGGCTCGTCGATCCCTCCGGCTTATGCAGCTAGAATTACTCTTTTCCCTGTCACTACGTACCGTCGATTTGTGTCTTACCATAGTACAAGTTTTCTGCTCCATTTCGACCAGAAACTTTCGCATAGGGTGTTATGCATATTGTGATTGTAATGATATATACATATACCAACTTATCGATAATAGATACACAGTAGCATGTTCGATGACTAATAGCGAATAGCAATGTTAGTGCGATATTCATCGATAGTTTAGGTTGATAATTTCCGTGCAACTGTGATTATTTTTTAATTTTTTTTTTTTTGAGCCTTTTACACATGATCGAAGTGAGTCATTTATGATTGAGAATATAACATCAGCAAATTTCATATATTAAGTCTGATTATTCATATTTACAATAGTATAAAAATTATCGAGAAAATTCACCTAATATTTTTCAAGAAGATAACATAGTATTGGCAATTCATTTCACAACAGGTTATTAAAGAAGTAGCAATTTACGCACTTTGTAGCAGATACATATCATCAGAGCAGAGTTACGTAAAGGAATTATTTTCAAGAATACACTACTGTGTATCTTGATACAAGATAAGATTTACGTTATCAAAAAAAAATTTAGGAACTGACAGATAAAGAAATTTAAATACTGACACGATACTGCGTTGTAAGAATATGCACTATTGTGTCAATATTTAAAAGCTATTACTTAATAGTATACGTTCCTACATAGCTAGCTTACCGCTATTTGTAGGTACTAGTAGACCTATTCTGTAACTTTTTAACATATGACTTTTAACACATAACTTTTAACATATAAGCTTTATTCACGTTGTAGATACAGTAATTATTTAGTTACATTTATTTTAATTCTCGCAAAATTCAGCATTATTTGAAATATGTATGTTTTGTTTTATTAATGAATGCACTTCATGTAAGAAATATATATTTTTTCTCTTTGAACATCGAGTGTAAATAATTTCATCTGACAATTTTATTAAAGGATGGTCTTCACTAAAAATTTTTTACAAAATATTTTTTACAAAAAAATTTAGCGAAATTGAACCGATATATATTTATGTATACGTATATATACATAAATATAATTACATGTGTATGTAATATAAATATATAATGCAATTATATATTTATATAAATGCATATAAATATAATTATATAATTATATAATATAATATAAAAATATAATTATTTGTACATGTATACATGTAATGTCTATAGCGTGAATAAAGTTTAAAAAGACAGCCGTATGATTGCATACAACATACACATAAAAAGACCAATAGTGTATATAATAGAAACAATACAATATTGTTATATCATTTAAATTAGAATTAGATTGAAATAGTTATACTTAAAAAGTTACAAAATGGGCCTTTAGTAGTATGTACTCTCTGATGTACAAGTTTGTTCTCAATGCTATTATATTTTTTTATATGTATATGTATGTTTTCAACTGCAACGTGTTATAATTTAGAGAATTTATTATTTTGATAGCGTATCGTTCTCTTGATTTAGATTAAATTTAATTAAATATTAATTAAATTTAATTAAATATTAATTAAATTTAGTATCAATGAGAATGAATTGTGCTATCGTCTACAGATTTATCTGATTTGGAAAATTAATTAAGTTTTATGCAGAATAATTCATTTTATTTAATTAGCTTAAATTACCTTTTGAATTATTTCTTCAGACATCTTATATTTAATTCTTTCTATTTTATATGAGAATAAAATTTCATGGAAAGGAGCAAATTAGATAAAAAACATTATATAATGGTATATATTTTTGAAAATGAATTTAAAAATTTGTTTGCACTATTATTTAGGCGACATCGTCTACAAGTTGTCGAATTGAATGAATTATTTTGTGTAATTTTATTATACTTATCAATCACTCGTTAACTATTCGCTTACATGTGTTGAAACATTAAAACATAGTTATCTAACGATTTGTACTATGTTTGAAACTTTATGAACTTCTAAAGACAATAGATCAAACTCATTGTCACATTGTATACCAAACATGAATCGCTGTTGTGCGCAAATATCAGCGATTGATCATCGTATCTAAAAGCACCGCTTTCGCCATAAACAAATTTAAATCGACGAACTTTAACTTGAAGTGCTCTGCGCACATACATTTCTCTAATTTTTATTTAGATTTCTTTTTTGTGACAAGTATCTTTATATATACATTTTTTATATGACCTATTAGATGAAACAAACGCGAAGCATATATGTGTATGCTCAAAATCTTAATATCTATTGATAATCGGTTTTTAGCGCAAGTAGAATTTTTTTATTGATGTTTTTTTTTATTACGGTACGATTATTCTTTATTGTTACGATCATCCTTGGAATCTTAAGTATAACCAGCAAGTACTTACTCAAGGACGTTCGAGAGGTTTATACTTAGTTATTACGAATATTGAGAATTGCATGATTAAGAATTTCTCGTACACAGTTAATCGTGAATCATTTATCGATATCTTACGCGTATGCAGAAGAATATAAAGGAGGCTTATTTTTTAATCTCTCTCTTGTATTATATCTAAATTTTAGACAATGAAGATCGATTGATCGGACAATGAAGATATTTTCATTGTTTTATCAGGAAAGAGAAAATATGTACATACATGAATGTGTTTATTATTCGCAGCGGAAAATTAGCGACAATAATCGAGTTCCAGTTTTCGCGCTGGGAATCGAATGTGCGCATCAAGACTTATTGGCAGAGAGACTCTCAGGCGTTTTAATGTAAATTTGCATTGTGAACAAACTATATCTTCCAGAAGAAGCCGATAGGATTCGCTTGTTACAGCGCGCTTAAAGCTTCCTCTCGTCTCCCTAGAATAGTATCTCTATAAGATAAGCCAGTAAAATGCGCTAAGGACGCGAGACTGCCGTGCCTCCTGCCCCACGTACAAATCCGCTTCCGGGTTGTTTTCCATTCGACGGTCGTTTTATATGGGAACGACCGTGCCTCTGCGATGATATAAAAAAAAAAAATCAAAAAGTCGGAGCCTAACGCTGAGCGTATATTTTGTGTAACGTAACATTTACAACTATGTCACTAGAAGTATAATCACCGCGACAATAGCGACTATCTTTAGACTATCGTGTAACGCATGACAAGCAATTACGGGAACGCGTGCCGAGTCTTTACCCGAACCTTTTTATATTTCTAGCGTAGTGAGATTAGTGAATAGCCATGTCCGCTTCACGAGGCCAATTTTTTACTTTGTAATGCCCGTCTGCATCGCGCGTGTATGGTCTTACCGCGTAATTGAGACGAGAGTGCAATCAGATTTAAATCAATGCCTTTGGAGTCAGCCAACTTTGCAGTTTAGGAGAGAAATAATTAACGTTCGCCTATATAAAACTGGTCACGATTAAGACGGTAACGTTAGTAGCGCGTTCGATAGGGAACATTAGGAATACTCGAGCCGGCATAAAAGAAAGGCAGGCCGATTACAACGCTTCAATGTAAACCGTTCGATGTAAGCGTGAGAGTGTGTCTAAGCAGGCGTTATAAGCACTGAATTTCTTTACGGAGACTTTTTATACGAAAGAAAGAGAGAAAAAGTGAAAAAGGAAAGATGGAAAAACGCGCGACGCGTCCAAGCGGTAAAACGCGGTATACGTAACGTTCTCGGTGCGTTGAGGAATTTGGAAGAATATAGACGACGCATAGTGCCTTTTCTCTGGGACTTATTCACACCATCGTCATCATACTTGAAATTCACGTGTTTGGGAGGCACACCGGCATAAAGTAAAAAACATTGAAACATAAGTTAGTTACTTGTAGGTAAGACGGCGTTTATCCTTTATTTTCGTCCTTCTGTTACTGAGGAGAGTGAACACGTTTCGAATGCCACACTGCCTCTACAGCAGCTGTTTTAAGACTACTTTTATACTGTTGATGTCAAACGCGCAGCTAATCAGAGTCTGTATATTACTGCCATAATTATATACGAAACGAAATGTATACTCAATATACCTTTATAAATAAAACGCGATCGAAAAAGAGCCAAAGTTGCATTTTACTGTCGACAATGCGTTCCCCAGCGGGCGTCAATCGTCTCCCCCGCGTGCGAGGTACACGCATGACGCGAGGACGAACTGACGTGTTACGACGTCGTTAATCGGTAATATCGATGATGCAGAGGTCGATTCGTACGATGATGTTTATGACGCGTTTTCTCGGGGCGACAATGCCGCGGTGACGTGGAATATCTCATGCGGCGTGAATTTTTCTCTCTGCCCACCTAAGGTTGCCGAGTTCCTGCTCGGATGCAGGCGGTTCGCCTTGCCGGATCGCGCCGCGCCCGTGTTACGGCGAACAATAATAATGGCTAGCGAACCGGCTCGACTTCGTTGCATTTTTATTTCCTCGCCCTTGCCCGGCCCCGGCCTCCTCCTCGCCCCGCCACGATGGCGCGGCGTGCATTCGCATTATCACTCGCGAGCCTGGATAATAAGATAATCGCTCCTTTGTCCCTCCTTTCTTCCGTTTTCTGCCGGTAATTCGCTGTCTTTCATGGAACAAGATACAACGAACCGGTATTTTGATGGCATTTTTTATAGCGAATATTTGTACTTAAATATATATACGTATTGACGTCAAATTAATTTCAATAAAGAGGACATTTTTATTTAAATATTAGTAATATTTTACGTATTGTTTTTCTTTCCATACTAATATTGGTAATATTTTATGTTGCTCATAAAATGAAAGAGAAGAAAAATATGTCTTTTTAGTCAATTAATATGGAAAAATATATATATTTATTATTAAAGTCAAAATTATCCTGTTACAATACTTGTATTAAATAAATTTAATTACATTTGTGAGTTAAATCAAGATGTATGATAGAGAATAAATACTCTCTAATAGAGCGTTTCTCGTACAAATATATATATATATCGGGCGTATCCCACATTTTCTTCGGTATCGTGGGATTCTCAGTTGCAACACCATGGAGAACGCAAAGGTTACCGGATGAAAGTAAGCCGACCCCATGGAGCACGTGATTGTGCTCGCATTTGTACGGGAAATTGCTATGCAAAGTACATCGGGCAATGCACGAACGAGCGAGATCATTCGATTCTGTAGTTTCGACGTTTTTATTTTTCAGACATAAAGAACACTCGCTTCTTAAGCTCTTGCTTAAGGAAACCTTATGAGAATTTATACATTTTGTATTATTTTGACACAATGGATCATTAACAGTTAATATAAAAAAAGAAATTTAATAATTATTTTTACCGATCACACGTTAAGTTCAGAATTAAATAATTTAAAATATGAAATAAAAACAAACGAATGTCACGACTGTGATTGAAAAAGAAAATGATACTTTTTTTGGTAAATTCTCTTAATTATTAATTTTTTTTACACTCAAACATTTTTACTTTAAAACTTGAATTCTCTTTTTCAATTAATTGATGGATCTTGTTTTTTGAAGATCTAAAATTGCACGGTTTATCAAATAAACGAGCTTGTTAATCTCACCGCGGATTCGCCGCTTTTTACATCTCGCAAACTCGCGTGCCACTTAACTTTTGCTGAACGTATAGGAGAAGCCGTCGGGAGTCCGATTGAAGCTGAGCTTTCCCGGCGGATAGAAATTCCGGGGCGCCGCTTCCGGTGTCGTTATCGCATTGTACTGCGGCGCGGGGCGAAGTTGAGGCTGATAGCGCGGTCTCGGTGGCGCGTACGAGGGTATACTTTGTAACTCCGGGGGATAATGATAGCGAGGCGGCGCGGGCGGCTGCGGCCTGTACTGGTACTGCGGCTGAGGCTGCGGTTCGGGCTGCGGTTGAAACTGCGGCTGATAAACGACAAGTTGCGGTTCATAATCCGATTGATAGCGCCGCGGATGGGGTGAGGACCGCTGAGGGGGTGGCGGTGCGTAACTCGGAGGTTGGTATTGTTGGTAATCCGGCGGATTATACTGCGCCTGCAGCGGCACGTATTCCGGCTGCGGTGGCACTTGCGGGGGTGCGCTGGGAATGTGATCCCCGGTCGCCTGTGTGAGACAAGAAGAGGATTAATTTGAAATTCGATTAAAGCTAATGAGATTATATAGAATTGGGCGAACTCGAGCTTTATCTTATTGTATATAATTAATTTTGTATATAGTAAACTGATGAATTCGATGAGTCTTTTAAATTTTAAATCTAATCTCTTTTCTGAAACGTTTATGTAAAATATTTCACATAAAAATTTATGTAAAAAGTAATGAATTATAAAATAATATTCACAAATAAAATTATAAAACTCTAACGAAGATCAATTATAAAAAGTTATAAATTTAACGTAATTTCGTGTAATTAATGAGCGAAAGTAATTAGCAAGTAAATGTGCACTCCGCGTACTTGGAAACCGTTCTTTCCCGCCGTGTAAGTCACAGTGCGCCTTTGACCGTTTGGATCGATGTACGAGTATGATCCACGTCGATTACCCTCTACATCGCTCTCCTCCTTGAATTCCACTCCGTCTTCTTGAGAATAGGCGGCACCGAATGTACCATCACCCGCGAGATAACGCGCATCACTCAAAATCGCCGCCTGGCTCGGCGATTGATAATGAGATTCTTGGCAGGAGACACCAATGATGACACCCAACAGGATAATCTATGTATAGTATACGTAATAGAAATAAAATTTAAATACAGACGAATTTTTTAGTTCAACAAATTGAAAAATATCTGAAAAATATCTAACAATGAGAGTTACAAGATACAAAATATTTCAGAGTTTAATTTAAAATATACATTTTATGTCATAAAATTATATTTTGATAACTTTCATTAAATTTAACTATATATATTTTTATTGTACTTTATATAGAATTATATTGTTACGCTGTTAAATTAACGATTTGATGAGAACGCGGTTTCAGATTAGATACTTACGACTGTGGCAGTCATGTTGATGGAATAATGGATCCTTAGGCAGCGGGAAGCGCAATAGTGCTCCCAGAAGTCGATGAGAGGGGCGTTTTATACGGCGGGTTGGCTCAGGGCGATCCGGCGCGAAGAGGCCTTGATGGCAACCCGCGCGTCCCAGTCCCGGATCACACCGGTCGTCCACCACGCCCTGCGAACGATTTCTGTATGCAAGTTTCTAATACCTCATACTTTCCGTAATAACTTAAGCTGACATTTTGCTTGACTCGCGAGGAAACCAAGAGGTTTATACGGAATAATATTCAAAATCCTCGACGTTAATTTTAACTTCTTCGTCGAGAAAATCGGACTGTCCCAAAAGCGTCGTTTTTTAAATTATTTAATGCGTTTTTCTATTTGTAATAATTAAACCAACAAGTGTATTTCTGTAAAATATATTTGTGACTTATTTATGTTTCTTATTTGTGTATTTCAAGGAATATATATAATCTCTTCAATATGAAAACTATATATAAGTTATTTTTTAAACTGCTGAAAATCTCTGGCGCAAATCTTCTCTGCATTTTCTTCTGAAAGTAAAGTAATATAATTTAGTAAATTATGCTGTCATTTTTTGTTTTTTAAATAATGCAAACATAGATTAAGCGCTCTTAGCAAATTTATATATTTATAAAATGTGATGAAAAATCAACGTAAGTAAAAATTAAAACGTTGATATCATCAATATAGATAATATTTGTATTGTCTGTAATATCTAATTTGCTCTAATATTTGTATATTATCAGTAATCTGTTTATTTTATTAAATTTTCTAATAATCAGGAACGTTTGAGCATTCAAAAATTGTAGTCATTTTTATTATTATAATTATCTTTTACATTAGGTAATGTAATTTACAAAACAATAAATCGTTTAAATAATTAAAGAAATAGGAAAAAATACATAAAAAAAGAAATACTATCGTTTACAAATTCATAAAATACGAGATATTTCAACAAAAGGAATCATTGTTGGTTTAAACAGTTATATATCAAAATATATTGATTTTACAAATGCACTGAATGTGTTCTCGAAAACTTCGCAGAGAACTCGCAATGTGAGAACTCAATTCTGAGGCCTTTCGCCTGTGTTCGCCTATGAGTTAAAAGAATAAAGTTAACTTATTAGAATTATACAGTACTCTTTATTCAATGACCATTAGTTAACTTGACTTATATATATTATTTTATTCCCACATCTGGGACACTTAACTTCAATAACTATCTTTCAAAATCTTGTTGAAATTCTTTGAATATTAAATTTGTTCCACAAATATTACATATCAATATGCACCGAGGTCCGTCCATATTAACTTTTTCTATGCTGCAATTTTTTTTTCTTTATTTTTTCTTCAGGATCCGATGAATTTCAGTTGCAGTACCAGGGCCCAGCCTACAACTTGCATATCACATGACCAATATCAACAGTAAGTACATGTAATTTTAAAATTAGGAGAGTAATTAGTAGAAAATGCGTAATTAAACGGGAAAATTTGCAAAAAATCCGGTGAAATAATTGCCAGATTGGCAGGACATGAAAGGAAAATACGAAATATGAACAAATAAATAAATGCATGAAAAAAAAATTATTTTTAAATTAACTAAATAATATTAATTTAATAGAAAGAAGACAGACATGGTATAGGGAGAAACCCAGTCAGGATTCCTGTGCTGTATATTTTACAGTAGATTATATACCGACTTCACTGAACGCTGTTACCGACTTCCAATGGATTATCGGAGGTATAACACGTTGCACGGCAATCGTGTCGAAGCTTAGAGCATTCTTCGGGGTCGGCGTTCGCGCGCGATCCTTGAATTCACTTTTCTTTCCTGTCAGAATAGCTGAGCCTTCGTTGAAAAAAAAAAACAAGCCTGGCTGCCTCCACCTGCCGTGTAGTAATTAGATTTTCGATTTCACTCGCGAGCCGGCCGCGAGTATTACGATCGCGCGGTAATGAGTTCTTATGTCCATTACCGCATCGCCAAATTGAAATAGACGGCGTTCGAGAACTCCAGGAAAATTAAAGCGAGTACACTTTAATTGCCCTCGGCGCGCATATATTAATCGCAACGTAATACTTCGCCCGTTTGCGTTTCCGATTTCCTCAATAATTCAATAAGTATTTAAAGGCGAAAGTGTGCGGATCTCGTTGCGCCCCGGCCTCGAAGCTATCGGACACTTTTATCGTTTATGATTATTTCTGCATCTCGCAATCGCGCGGCGCGCAACGCAAACGTAACGTAAACGTACAGATTAATAAAACTTCCCTGGGGGTGGGGGAAGGACATTGAATATCCTGTTTCGCTTTTTTTTTATTTATCGGCGATTCCAAACGCGCGCCGCAATGTTCCCGTATATGTATGTACGCATACACGCGGACGTATGAATTACTCGTACGGATGTAGAATTACGCCGAGTATGTTTCTCGATTTTTTTTTAAGCCTCTTATCTTCACCATCATGCGTGACGTCTCTTGTCGAAAAATATCCACAACGACGTAACTTTCTATACATCAACCCGGGACATTTCGTGAAGGTAAAAACTGTGGCGAGTGTTAATTCATGCGTGGTATCCATCGAGCCCGATTTCAAAGTACATCGCGTCGGTCGAGATATCGCGCGCGTATCGCGAACATATGTACTTCGAACGGAAGGAAGTGCATTTCTACATTCGCCTGCGCGAAGTATTAAGTTCCCGACGGCGCGGCGGACCGCGATATCAGCGCGCCGCAGACACAAGATCTTCCCAGTCGATCGGCCAGGAATAATCGACTTTCTCCGCCCGCTTCCTCCTGTCAAATCCTTCTCTTTTCTCGTCTCTCGCTGATCGCACCTTTCGAATCTTATCTCTCGCGAGTTTTTTTCCATCGTTCTACATCCGCACGCGCGAACGCAGGTTGACGCCCGTTCCAAGTGCCGCACGTGTTGCAATTACGTTCGCCGTTTCGTTTGTAACTTTGGAAATCGTCGTCAATTTTGGCAGTTAGGAATTGTATAGGGAACGAAGAGAGAGATTCGGCGCTGCTTTTGTACGAGATTTTCATGATTTTTCATTCAATGCATGCGTTTCTTCGTCTAGTTGCCACTCAACGTTCTCCACGGTAATTTCATGCATGTACCCGGTATTCCTTTATCTAATCCGTTAATAAATTACTTCTCTAAACAGCTAAACGGCTTCGCGGAAAGATTGTTTGGCAATCGGAGATTTTGTTGTCGAATGAAAAAGAATTCTATTTCTAGAATGTTACGGAAGCCATATATCTTATTTCATCATTGAACTACTAAAGGATTAATGTAATACAACGTCCGCAATCCATTTCTCACGGGCTCGAGTAACGTAAACATAAAAATTTCACATTATCTAAGAACGAAAAACAGCGGGATATATATACTACAGGCACTTATAGAGCTTTAATTTACACGATTTAATACGTCAATGCGTTAAAGTTGGAAGATAATGATCGTTACTCACGAGCGCGATTGCGTTGCACTCTCATCGCATTAGAGGCTCGCGAGCGTCAAACGGCCGCGCAATTATCTCGCCGTGCGAGAGGTTTTCTTTTAGCGCGGCAATAAAGCCGGCGGGGTCCATTATCTCGCGGAATTTATAGATCTGAGCTAAATAGATCACTTTTTTTTCCTTCCACTGCTTTTCACCCCTTAATTTCGCCCAGCTTGGCCGGAATGAACTGTCGGTCTGGCGCAGATCGGTAGCGTTTAGCGCGCGGCAAACCGTTTGCACGTCGTAAATTTAATTATACGAAATGCAAAGAGACAGCGTAGTTGATTACAACATGCTGCTAGGAATGGGTTTTTGCATGCCTCGATCGTTTAACCAGGAAGATCCGCGTTGCTTCGAGCTTGATTCACGCTACCGGAAATTCTTATAGTCTATAAAATATCTTATTTAGTTTAACAAATGCGTAGAACTTTATATTATTAAGCGTATGCAAAAGTTTTAGTCTATTTTTCTCTCAACGCTCTGATATAATTATTTAAATGTATTTTGGTATTTCGATATAATTAAATAAATTCTCGCGTTTTTTAAAGAATTAAAAAAAAACAGAAAACCATTTATTGGACAAGTAAATTGGAAGGTTATTTTGCTACATGAGAAAGTTAGATTACATGTGCTTTTCATATCCAGCAAACCGTTTTTAATTTAGCCTGGAGAGTTTTCTGCACGCGGATTCACTAGACTTTACACCTTCGAATTATCACTTATTCCGATCGACGCAACATTCTTTAACTGAGAAGCGCTTTTGAAATGTAACTAAGATACAAAAATATTTTTTTCGTAAAGGAATTTAAAATTTACTTGAAAAATGACAGAAAATCACAGAAAACAAGGATAAATATTTTGATGACTAAATATTATTACATATATTATGGATTTGAAGCGAAATTATGCGAAAAAAGATTAAAATTCTTGCATATACCTAATAAATAAATTAAAGATTAATTAATAAAAAAAACTAATAAAGTAATAATAAGCATCTTGATATCAATCTTTTTTCTGGAAAAGTAATGAAACAGTATAATATTAAAGTTTGTAAAAACTACATTATACTCTGCATGGTGAATTTTTTGTGTGTGTGTGTTGACTGGTTGGAAATTTATTTTATTACAAATTCTTTTCCTTATAATTTACCCCTTTTATATTACCACAGAATTATATTAATTATCACTTCGCATCGTTAAATACATATAAGGAAATACCCGAATACACAAAGTGAGAGACTCTTTTTCGCTTCATGCAATCCTACGTAATCCTATACTTTGTTGTATCGCAATGAAAATTACTATGGGCATTTGCTGCCACATAGCGCGCTTTCCTTTCGTCTCTACCTCGTCGTTACTCCTCATTTGAGACAATTTAAGTGCATACGCGTACCTTAACGGCTCCGCTTTAACAGTTCTGAAACGCGGATTTAGCTAAAAGAACACCACATCGATGTTTCTTGTTACGTCATAGTAGTCTCGTTAAAATCCTCGGGATCGTGTGGAGAACCTAACGATTTCATCATTCCGATTTCTGACATTAAAAAAATCAATTAATTTAATTTCAGAGAACATGATATTAAACATGTTTAATCCTCCTTTATTTTAATCTAATTTAAACTTGCATGATCTCAGAGAAAAAAATCATTTAAACATTGCGTATTTTTATTTTCTTAAATTTAATCACTATTTAGTAATTAATTTCTATTTAGAATATACATATATTAAATTATCTACTAAAATTATATTATGTTTTAAAATCATGTTTCCATTTATTTAAATTTTTTGTCTAATTACTGTCTCATTTGTCTTTATATGCAAATGTTACTAAGATATGTAGGTAGTATTTCCGTATAAGCTTGACAGATACATTTTTGAGATGCGATAATTTTAGAGTAATCAAGAATTTAGCAGACAAAAAAATATATATCTTACGTCGTCTAATCGCAAGAAAAATAAAGTATTGCATGATCTCTTCGAAATTTTCGGATTTGCAAATATCCTGACTTCCTGCGGGATCACCAAGGATAATTTCATAATAGCGTTACGCCAGAGAGGCGCATTCTTGCAACGTGTGATAATAACATATCCTCAGGGGGGAGCCTTTTGTCGGAGTTCACTCGTTTTACCGGAGACGGAATTACACTAAAAGTAGGTAGCCACCAGCCGCGTGCCCGCGCCACCAATTACGCCGGAGCGACTACGGCTATATAGAAGAGCCACGCCGACTCCGCCGGCTGATTTCTGCGAGTAAAGTCGACGCGACAATCCGTGCACATCTCTCTCTCCGCACGCAACCATGAGACTACCAGTGAGTGTTCAGGATATTCTGATTGATTGATCGCACTTCCATCGTGTCAATATTAATATATGGTGACAAGAAATATTCCAATATATCATCAAATTTTGGTTCGCGGAATTTTCTGCTGATGTGTGACTGTTAAGGGTGAATTTTTCTATTCGGTTTCTAATTGTCAGATGATTGTTGATCAAATGATCATTGATTGAATTAAATAAGACTTATATGTATAATTAAATTAAATATATATTACCTTGATGGTATTGATATGATTTTATCACACAATTATTTGTAAATCATATTTTAATTTTTTAAGGAAATCTTTCTTATTCTTCGGTTGTCACACTTAACAAAATGATCCCCAGCTTTTTACTTTGGAGACAAATATCTCGGAAGTATAGCGCTTCTTTCAATATAATGCCACTTTAATTTTACACTGTTAAATCTATTGTGTCAAATTGAACCTTATTTAAGTCGCCACTGCACCTACTTAATAAATAGTTATTTTTAACTAAAACAATATAATTACTTTTAAATAAAACAATAAAATTTAATCCAAATTTGGGTTAAATTTAAACTGTTTTAAATTATTTAACTCCATTGTTTTAGTAAAAAAGAACTATTTATTAAGTAGGAGCAGTGGCGACTTAAATAAGGTTCAGTTTAACACTATAGATTTAACAGTATAAATTCTATATAATCAGAATACATTCTACAATGTTCGTACTCTATTTAAGAATTTTTTTGATCCAATTAAACTGTTAATTTTTAAATAGTCTCTTAAAAATTGATTTTGACAAATTGATCTCAAGTGATAAACTTGATCGAAAAAAAAGATGTGACTGCAATTAAAGGTTAAGAAATCTTTATTCGGTTTTACTTTTAACTTGGAACCAGTTGTATATGACATTGTACAATACATCGCACTATTATTTATTCTAGATTCTCCTTGTCGTAATATCGATCGCGTGGGCGAAAACGGAAAATGTAGGGAGGTCTGCTCGCGCGCCGCAAGAGCAAAACGCCGATAGTGATGGTGAGTACGAAGTTTCTTCGATTGTATACTCATTGTATTTTGAAAATATGCTTCGGGGAACCTTGGATCCGATATATCGCAATTAACTGTTGCCGCTACTGCTATTGTAACGCACGCAAGAGTCGATTTTCACATCCCAGATCTTTAGAACAATTCCTTTGTGAGGTTCCCCGACTGAGGTCAACGTTGCGTAAGCAACCGATGGTCGACGACAGACCGTTAATTGGTGTCGAAGTGACAGAGCGTTCCTCTCGGTGTTGCAGGTGCGAGGATCAATTGGGAGTACCTCGCGCCCCAGAGCCAGTTGCGGCCGCAGCGGCAGTACGCTCACAATCAGCGGGCCCAGCGTGCCGAGGGCGGCTCACCCCAGCGTCTTCGACAGGCCCCGCAGCACCGTGCCCCGGCGCCTCAGCCTCAACAGCAAGTCCAGGCTCAGCCGCAGTATTACAGCTACAAGCCGTACTCGGCGGTGCCGGGCCACATCAGGCAGCTGATCGATTCGGTCTATCAGCCGCAAGCTCCCTACGTCGATCCCACGTCTTTCATTTACGGCGGCAACTACTTTGCGGCGGCACCGCAGCAACACGGCGGCGAGCAGCAACCAACTCCGGCCGCATCTGAAATTCCTCAGGGTGCCTATTTGCAACCGTCCGCGTCGGCGAGATATCAGTCGATCGATCCTCAATTAGCGCAGCCCAGGTACGAGTACAGCGACAGGAGAGTGGAGCGTCAGGATAGAGTCGTCTACAAGGAAGATTACGAGCAACTGCAACAGCAGCAGCAGCAGCAGCAGCAACAGCAGCAACAGCAGCAGCAACTGCAGCAACATGTCGCAGCGTTTCCGTTAGGATCCATACCCGAATCTCCGATGCCTGTCCTATATTTGGACAGAAACATGCCTACGGAGATCAAGCAGTTGCTAAAATATCAGGCGCAGATACCGTATGACGTCACAGCGAATCGCATTCAGTACACACCGAAGAGCGTTTTCGTCCCCAAGCCGTTGTCCGACGACGTCAAGGGATCCTATTATTATCGTAGCAAAGTTTACTATCCAGACGACGACAGCGTTGACGCGGGGTATTCGCAGAACAAGCCGGTCGAGGAAAAACAGCGCCAATGACCGAGAATTGGTCTATAATACGGTTTATATAATTTAATGTTCTATTTCTCGGCAATCTTTGAAGAAGAGATGGCTCTAAGATTCGCTCGAGTTGAATTTTTCCCATTTTTTTTTATTTTCGCGGAAATAGTTTTCAGCTTCTTGATATTACCAAGGCTTCGTTAAGATGAGTTACACGCTTTAAATTATTGTATTGCTTGTTGACATTTTAATGTATTTTTTATGCCGTGTATTTGACAGCAACCCGCTGCGGTCGTTTTCTTTGACCGCCGAAAACGGAATGAATGAATCAACGTCTGACAATTAGAATTAAATGTGCTAATTAGACAGAATAACTGCTTTATAATTAACATAACAATTTGTCAAAGAGAAAATTTATTCTTGCAGAAAATTAAGAAATTATCTCAATTGGATTTCACGAAAATTTATTCAATCCATAATTAATGATGACAACAGAAAACTCATTGAAACAGAAATGGTAAAACTGATCCAGCAGACTTTCCTTCGATTAATTTTCTGTTCGTTTTTCATTTCACTCAATTATAAATGTGTATTCAGTTTTTCGTGTGTACGTAAGCTAGAGAATGTGCATGATTACACGGTAGCGCGAAGAATGTAATTTTTTTGTAACGAAATAAATCGTTTCCGCTTCTGGCATCGTGGAAGTCATTCACCTCGTCGTAGCAGCGCAATCTTCGCTTTTATTATTTCAGCTCGCGGAACACTTAGCAGAACTTCCGCCCGTAAAAAGGTGAGTTACACGCGCAAGCTGTAAATTCGATAAAAGTTGAACTATATCGTTTACTCTCCTTTCAGGAAGTTTCGTGTTTCGCGCGACGCGTGATTTGCTTAATTATACATGATGAGGATAAGTTACCGAGTCCCACGCTATTAGAGCAAATAGAAAGCGATACGATTTTTCGCTTTCTATTGAATAAAGATACCTGATCTCCATACGATTAGTTAGAAAGCGAGATATTCCCTCTCACAGAGCAGAGATTTGCGGCGTGGTATTGCGATAAGAGTGCATTTAAAGATACAAAGATCTTGCAAAAAGAAGGTGAACAGAACCGGGGCATAATCTGAGAAATTTCCTTATCAAAATTGATTCACATAAATTACTGGAAATTACCGGCCTGGCGTGAATATTCTGACGAGAGAAAGAAGTATGCGCGACAGCTTGTAACGCTTGATTCTTATTAATAGATTTCATGCGTTCCGATTAGAAGGGAATTGGGTTTTTATCGCTTGCAAAAAGTCATTCAATACGCGGAATTAGTATTCCGATCGGGCGGATTTTATCGTCGATGCGTGACGATGACAAGGTGAGAATATTTACATATAATGCGCGAATTCGAAAAAGCGTATCGGCCTGTGGTCATTTTCGCCTGTTTTCATTTTTGCGTTGAAATTGAAACTAAAGGCACGGATGGACAGCACATTTCTCCGGATAAAGAAGACTGACTATCCACTTTCGTGGCCTTCACGCTTCGCCTGCCGATGTACCTGTTTCGAGTCGCTGCAACTGCGAACGCTGCGTTTTTCATTTTGCGCAATTTTCCTTTTTACTCACCCGCCGTTTTCTTGCGCTAATAATTCTCGATAATTCGCCAGGGTCACGCCCTTTGAGTTCACCGATCTTGCTCAATGAAATCAAAGGTATAATCACAGCCATGTAAATACATGGTTATTCGCGTAAAGTTGCATTGGCAAATCTGAATTAGCAATTAATTAATTGTGTTCATGATAAAGAAACGCAAAGTATATAATGTAATATATGTAAAAACGTTTATGATATAATAACGAATACACACACACACACACTTTTTAATTATAATAAACTGTATCTGAATTATATATTTTATCTTACTATATTTATTATATTTATTATTTGAATATATAACATTTATTTTATAAAATTAATTAATCTAAATTTATGGCTGATTGCAGTTGATTATCTATTATAAAATGTACATTTTTTTTTCTTTTTCCGAATGCTATTAATCAGCTGAGAAATTATCTTCCAAAGTTTTACATTCTCCTTGCGAATCGTCCTGTACGTATATTGCATGTGTTTTATTTATTATATATTTTCTTTTACTGGTATCGAGTAGTGCCGTAAGAATTGTTTTCACATGTCGGTATTAGTTCTGGGGTAATCTGTAATTTCACGGGAGATCGACGATCTATCTATCGCGATGCGACACGGTGTAACTTTCTACCGTAAAACTGACGTAACACGGCATTTCCATCTACGAGTAAGAGCGACTTCGTCAATCAAATAATTGGATAAAGGAGAAATACGTTCCCATAATTGCGTATCTGAAATAGGAATCTATGGGGACTAACAATAAAACTTTACGAGTTTAATGATACGGAGCATCACAGATCTGTTATCGAATCTATTGCGAAAATAGAAATCTGTAATTCCTAGAATATGTAGAGACGAGAATGATATAGGTTTAATACATTCGGAATAATGCGACATAGTTCGGAGAAAATTTCCCTGATTATATTTCTGCGTGTGTAACTGTATATTATCTGGCCATACCGATCGCATAGTATTACAATAAATAAAAACTTCTCCCACACTTATTTTGCTTTTTTTAAGATTTAATTTTTCTTTTAGATCTTATTATCCGTATTATTATCACTTTAATGCTGGAAGCCACGGAGTGCAGCGCTTTTACGTAAGTAACTTGACAGGACAATGATTGAATTCAATGTCGGCAATTAATTGCGGATCCTCGCGGTCTTTTACACCGTAACCTTTGAATGGCGATTGCCTGGGAAACATTGTGTTGCATCGCATTCCACTGCAGCTATTCCGTAGTTTTCCATCGGTATACTTGAGATTTTTCACGATTAGAATACATCGTATAGAAGATGAATGCTTTGTAATTGAATAAAGAAAACTTAGTGACTCGAAACAAGCAAAACTTAAGCTGCTTTTGCAAACAAATGTACTTTCTTGTTATTATATAAAATAAAAATTATATTATTGTAAATATAAACAAATTATTATAAAATTAGAATTAAATTAGTAATACGTGTACAAAATATTTTGTAAAATTATCGTGTAAAAACTTTTTATTATAGACGTGTAACATTTTTGTTTTTTTATTTATTCTGTACAGAAATAAAAAGTCGAAATTGGATTGAAATAAATTAAACTTGATCGAGTTAAGTATTTATTACATAAATTTTTATAGTCACATCATTTTTGAAATGTTAACGGTTGATTTTATGAGAGAGAATTTATTAATAAAATTTTTATATCCTTTTTAACAAAGAATAGGTAAAAACGTCAATGTAAAACATTGCTGTACCAAAGTAGAAATTCACGAGAATAAAAGGCTAGAGATTTGTAGGTCACAATTTAATTTATCGAGATAGTCAAGTGGAACTTTACGATGGAATTAACGTAAGGGTCTTATTTAGCGCCGGAAGCGATTTTCTTCAATGCGCTCGCGTTTGCAGAAAGAGCAATGACTGCTGGAGCACGAAGTCGGCCAGCCGGCCGGCCGACGAGGTGCAAGATGGAGGTGGCTCGCACCTAGTCACATCCCCGTCGTCGAAAGGCTCCTTTTACGTGGCCGACTATAAAGTTGTTCTGGTGACCGCGCGCCCGTCTCAGAAACACTCCACCCTCGAACGAATCGACCAGCTTTCACGCCATGAAATTGCACGTAAGTACGCAGTCGCCAGTTTTGTGTGTCTCATTCTTTTTCTTTTTTTCTTTTGTTTTTTTTTTATTTAATCGAAAGTCTTTGTGGGATGTCGAAAAATAGAGATCCACGCGGAGAACGCACGCGTACGACTTTTCCTGCAGGAATAAGCGCGCGTTTCCCTCCGGCAATGTGATGCAGGCGAAATGGAGTCGCGTGTGTCTAATCGTGCTGGATCCGCAAACCGGATATACCGGCAATAAATTATGCGACGATTCGATTAACAGCTTGTCGCCCGTTGTTTTGCGCTATTTCGTTCTTGAGCACTTTCTCGCAAATCCGTGCATGTGTGAAATCATCTCGTCGCGTCAAAAACTGGAAAAAGTGCGGAAAAACGGCGTTCTGGAAGTGTCGCGTGCACTTAATTGCCATGTGTCGCAAAATATTGTTTCAGATATTAATTGGATGACACGAATTTATTTAAGCCCGCTCTTTCGCACTTCCGTTCTTTCACGTCTTTCGCGCAAAAATTGAATTGCGCGAGGGTTTCATTGTATACACATGGTGGCAAGACTCGAAAACGGGAAGTCATTTGTTTTGTCAGAGATACTGGTCAACCGCCTTCCGTTCAAAGGTAACGAGCGTGAATAAGGGAATGGTGAAGTTCGTGCACTTAATTACATCGTTGGATGTCGTAAAGAGGGAGACAATTCGGAATGCTGCTTAAGTACCGCGGTCACTGGCCGGGAGTGCATTTCACGATCCAATTATCAGCCGCGGATACGAGCAATCGGACTTTTGCAATCTTGCTGCAAGCTCGCGGATCGAGATTTCGACATAGAGATCAGTAGTTGCTCCGTCGATTCGCCTCGCTGTCCACTCCATATGTTCTCTTATCATGTAAGAGCTAAAGCGATAAGACTAGACATTCATGCGGAGGGAAAATGATAGATATAAAAAAGCTACAAGAGCAAATATTGATTAAAATAAAATATTGGTTTATTATGTTATTTTTAGCCAATTATAATATCTTTTCGTCGAGACTGTTGCTTAAAATATATATGTATAGACCTCAATAATCAGCATGCGTGTCGCGACTCGTACCTCGCTCGAAATGTCGCTCGGTTTCCGCGTTCCACGAGATAAAACTCGCGCAGAATTTGTCGTACGTGCGGTAATTTCTGGAGCAGCATTTCGTCTCAGATACAGCCGGTCGCAGACATTTTCGAAACGAGTCGAGGTCGTTTCTTTTTTCCCGAATAATCGCGTCGGGCGTGTCCAGACGATTAATGTCTCTCTATACCTCGCTTTCTACCGACCGCGTGCAACGCTCGCAGCCTGGCGCATTCGATCGCCTAAGTCGCGAGTCGACGTTTTCTTCTTTTTTCTTCCACCTTGCCTTTTTGTCTTACGGCCGCGTTCCTAACGACTCGAGTGTGCGTCCCGCGATCGCGAATGTTAACCGGCAACGCGTGCTCACCTTTTCCCCGATTACCGTGATTAAAGATTCATGCGCTCGCGGACTTTCCCTTCCAGCTTCCCGGTGCCGGTTGCTTGATACGCTTCCATATATGCAATATAGTACATGCCGTAAGACAGATTCAGGTTTAGCGCCACGCGCATTAGATAATGATCTTTGGTCGTCTGTTGCGAAATCGAAAGCATTTAACATAGTTAGACAAACGTTTAAATGTAATAATCACATTCCGATATTATTTTTTTACAATGTTTACAGAGATCAATATAATTATCGAGAAATATATAATTCCAGTAAGTTATTAAATATTAAATTATTGGAAAAATAATTTAATTACAACATTGTTAATGAATAATTGAAAACGATATTTGATAATGATAAACGATTTTATTTGTCCTTTTACATAACCAACTTTCTCTTTTATTATCAATACTTGAATTATTTCCGATGTATAAATTATAACACATTTTATTATTTCATGTCATGGTATACATATTGTATGAAATTCTATCATAAATCTTTTGTTGTAGATTTTATTGCTAACGGCACTTCCCATGTGCCTAGCTGAATTCTCAATTCAGGGGCCTAGCGACGGACACCGACGAGCTCAGGGTCTTAAGTTCAGCGAAGAGAAAGGACTCCAATACACAGACGCGAGTGGTAAGTGCAGACAAGCATAGATAATGCAACTGGAAATTGTGGAAAGATATGAAATAATTTATACATATTTTTAAATTGTTCTTCAGAATATTTTAACTTTCCAAAATAGATCTTATACATATTGTATGTTTTGTTAATTGACTATTATTTCGAAGCACACAAATTTTTCTTCAGGTATTTATCTTTTTTGTTTTGAGATTTTCTAACTTGTATAATTTTATATAGTTACTATATAGTATTTGAATATAATTTGAAATGAGACACCTGTGTTGAAGTAAATATAATTTATATTCTCTTTATGTACGTTTTTTACGTGGTATCCTTAAATGTTCGATTTTTAGAGGGAGGGGGACCGGGAGACTTCACCATTCAAGGCGCGACCGACGCTAATAGCAATTTCAGGATCCAAGGTGCTACGGACGGGCATTCGAACTTTCAGATCCAAGGACCCTCGGACGGTGGATCGGCCACTTACAACGTACAAGGGCCGATCGATCGATATGGTCAGCCCACAATACTCGAGGGAGCTTACGATAATCAGGGTGGGAAAGCGCTCCAGTACGACGATCCCAGCGGTACTGTCGTCAGCTTTGTTTTACGAGTTTTCTTGCGACACTGTCTCCAAACCATAAATCGAATCGATCTGACGTGAATATGCATTGAAAGGTTACAGAGTGAACTGGAGATCGTACGATCGTCAAACACGTCCGCAGGCTCAGGCGGAGCCGCAATACGCGCCGCAAACCGTGGCGCCGATTTCGCGACCCCGACAGCGAGCGCATCAAGCGCGAGCGCAACCGCGACCGCAGCCGCAACAGCAACAGCAACCGGAACCACTGCCGAATTACAAGCCTTACTCTAATGCACCGCCACAGATCCAGCAACTGCTCCAGTTCCAGCAGCAAATTCCATACATCAATATAATTCCGGAACCATATAGGTATGAAACAGTATAAGAATATCGAATAAGTTTGTATCTTTGACGTCTTCGTCGATATTTTACTGACGTTACTATCTACAATTGTTTAATAATCGGGACACACAGATTTAATGATCATTAAATTGTAGATTCGACGAAGAGGCTGCGATACGGGCTCAATCTCAGCAGGTTCAAGAACATCTCCGGAAATTGGCGCAAGAGGCAGCGGCTGCACCCTTACCCGAGCCCGTACTCGCGTCAAGACCGTCTGCTGCACCGCCTGCGCCTCGTCAAAAATCACGCGGCCACCCCAGAAGCAAACGTCAGGCTCAGCAGTACCGTAGTTCCCAGCCGCCGGCGGAGCCGCAGCCTCAATATTCGCTCAATCTGCCGTCTCACTTGCGCGAACTGTTGAAATATCAGGCGCAAATACCGTACAACATTATCGCTAACCAGATCACGTACCGTCCGGACAAGCCGTACGTGCCGCACCGCGTGGAAGCGCAACAGCAGCAACAGCAGCAGCAGCCGATACAGCAAGCTCAGTACCAAGGTCAGGGTGGCGCCTACGAGGGTCAGGCCAGTGCGTACACACAGGCTGGCATACAGCCGGCGTACAATCAGAATCAGCAGTATCAGCAGCTCGGCTATAATCAACAACAGCCTGGCGTAAGACCTGTCACCGAAAATCAATACTGATCGCCTTGGACGAAGCGTTTTCATCACTATGCTTCCCGTTTGTTTCAATTTGTGGAACGAGTCCTTCTAACAGGACTGAATTCTATTCTATTATGTGATAAATTACGCCACGCTTTTAACATACAGATTGATTATTAAAGAAACAAAATAAACTTTTTAGATGATGGTATGAGTAGACATTACTCATATCTTGGAAATTTAGTTATTAGATTTATAAAGAGAATTAGACTAAGAAAATCACATAAGTAATTTGAAATCTTCTTATTTTAATGTAATAACTATTAAATAAGATATCTATATTTGAAGACTACTGTAATTAACGGTTTTCTTATAGATTAAGTTTGATATTATAAAATTACAAAATAAATATGTCTATTTTTTACTTTCTAAGTTTCTCGAAATTTGATATTAAAGTCATTCCTTTCTGATTTTATTCAACAGATAAGAAATATCCTGAGACTGAGTTCTTTATTGCTGTTTTTAACACTTTGAAATCTGTATTCTATAGAAAGTACATTCTTATAGATTTCTCGTATACGACTGATAATTTCGATCACAACAAGATGGAGCGAGATTGACATCCGAGAATCAATTTTTTTTCATGATTCTTGTGCAAAGAAAAATAAAATAAAAGCGAACGTACGTTGGACTCGCATTAACACAAATACATTGATATATACAAATAAATATTGATATACGTTTGAACAAAAAAAAAATATATATATATATATATATATGTGTGTGTGTGTGTGTGTGTGTGTGTGTGTGTAATATGTTTATCTATATTATAGCATTTTTATGTCATTTACATACGTTAAATATAATTATCAAATAATTCTGAGATATAAAATTTTTATTTAATTTTTTTAAGTAAAAATTAGTATTAAATAATAGAAAAAATCTTTGATTTGCAATTTAACGCGTTCATTATTATAAACCTCAATCTTTACGTAATTATCGATGCCTAAATTTAATTAAATTGGATTCTCGTGTCTAAACAAGAATAATTGAATATAATATATAAGTACTTAAAACATAAAAACGAGTTTAGTACTGAAAGTGGAATACTGAAATATTTATGCAAATTTGATGCATAAATTAAGAGATAAAATCTTGTGCCAAATGTAAGTACACGCCCTCAATACGAACAGTGAGGCAGTCAGTGGCTGCGTTTAGTAGAAAAAGCAGCCTTGCAACTGTTATAAGATTCTTTAATGTGATTGATTTATATATTTAGATCCGTGAGGAATTAAGGATAAGAATTAATTATATCGAAAAATCTTGCAACAGCAATCTTACAATAGAATCATGCAACGCTGTTTTTTATGTTGATGGTAGCAATGTACATATCTGTATACGAACCAACGAGTTGAGAGAAGGAACGATCGTTGTATCGAAAAAACTATACAATGAATAAAATTTTTAATTGGTTCGATCAATTGCTTGAAGATATACGATATAATTAAAGTATTATTATCTTTTTTCTACGTTGAATGTTAAAAAAAATTTTTAACTGTTATTCCAAAATCGGCTAATTTTATTTAAAAAATCATCATTAAAAATTCAACGTGTTTTTTGAGACAAACGATACTGTACAAAGGCTCATCACCAAAAATCACCTCTTTGGAAAAAGACAGCAAGTGGCCGCGTCCATCTAAATATGTAGTTATTGTGCGAAATAAACGTCATGCCAACTGAACATCTATTTAAAATTTAATTCCTTTATTATCATATTTACCAATTAAAAGTAACAATAAAATATTATGAGTTTTGCAATTGTTGTAAGATTTGTTGTAATAATTAATTGATTATTACATTTTGTTCCGCGAAGAATTAAAAACAATCATATTAAAGAATTTTACAAAATTTTTATAGTTCTTTTGCTGAACGCAGCCAATGCATTTATATCCGAATCATTGAGTTGAGAGGAAGCACAATTGTTATATCTAAAAAAGAAACGATCAAATTTACGAAAAAAAATTTAATTTTAGTTCAATTAATTGTCATATGATATAATGTGTCATTACTTTTTTTACGTTGAATATTCAACAAGATTTTAATTTTTATCCAATTTTTGTCTCAAAATCGGATAATGTATAAATAAAAATAAACATGGTGAGCTATAGAGCCAGCTGGATTTTCAAGACGAGTCGTAATCAGAAGAAACGCGGTAGTGTCTCGTGCCAAGTATACGCGCAACGCGAGATTGCCGTTATTGCTTTATTGAAATGATTCGCGTTACGAGGTTTTATTTAGCGGATATTAACCTCTGAGATATTTGCAGAACTCTTTTTCAAAGCAGTTTATTATTTACTTATATGTCAATTAATTTATTTTTATGTTTATGTATAATTCACAAATCCTCAAATGTTTTTAAAGTTAAATTGAAAAGAAGACACAGAAATTCAATCTTTTACAGTAAATAAAATTTACAATAAATACAATTATGTATATGTAATTCTTACATACATACACACACACACACACACACATATATATATATATATATATATATATATATGTATATAGGCAATAGAGGATACATGTAAATTTAATACGTGTTGAAATATATACGTTAAAATATGTTAAGATATTGAAGACCAAGGCTTAGTAGTTATTAAAACAAATTTGTTTTTGCCCTTATTTCTGCTAAGTCCATTTAATAACGGTAATTTATTTCGTCTAGATTTATTTTACCTAATGCAGTAAGCTGATATCTATCTGTAAAATAAATTAGCTGGTCCCAAGAAGCCGAATATTTCAGCCTATTTATAGATTGCAATTTTTCAGTCTTGCACGAGTACCACCTTAAAAGTAACATTTTATTTTACAACAATAAAATCGTCCTAACGATTATTAGATATAATTATTAATAGAATTTAAAATATCTCTATTATTTATCTCTATTAATCTAATAAATTAAATATCTCTATTATTTATCATCGATTAATATGTCGAGAATAATTGCGTTTGAATATCTTACCGGCTTTCTCCAATTCCAATAGACATTCTTGCCTAGAATAGACATGTTGTGAAGATCGCTATAAAATATTACATTTTTCACCGATGTTATCGGTCCTGTTTGACTTGACAATTTAAACGCGAGTTTACTTTATTAGTCATTTCTTTATTTGGACATTTTAGTAGCGTCCTTATATTTATTTTATAGACTTCTTTTCCTGATATAGGAGCATAATAAAAATCTAAAACATAAAACATAAAACAAATTCATAAAAAAAATATGAAAAGATAATAAGAAACAGCGAAAATGCTACTGATTATTTACTAGAAAATGTTCTGTTGTATAAATGTTTTTTTGGTTTGTTATTAGCATACTCAGCATAGATGTATGAATATTAATATTAAATAAGAAAAGGATATTGTAGATAAAAATAATGTAAATATTAGTTTAAAGTTAAAGTTAAAATTCTTAACACCCGCCATGTGTGCGTAATAAGTTCAGAATTCAGACATAATTGAAATAATATTCTTTGTGTCAAAAAGCGAGTACTTGCCATTGGCAATGACTGTCATACTATAAATACCGCTCTCATAAGTAAAATTTTCGCCTGCTATGGAGAAATGGGGATCAGTCGGTTTTATGAAATCAGATTCGACTCTGCAAATATGCTTTGTAGACGAGTCATATATTACTAAACCAAAACCTTCCATGTCAGCCATAAATACCTGCAGTGTATATTCATGTATGTATTGAATCATTTAAATAGTAGAATACGAGATATGTAATTAAACGTGTAATTGAACGTGTATAAATGATATTAAATGTATATATAATATATTTACGCAAGCGAATATGTACTATGATTAAATTAGGATATACTAACAATCATTTCGTCCAGTAATCGATTGCATTTTCCTGAGGGAACATAAACAAAAGGCGCTATCAACATTCCAGAGTCCGTTCGGTTAGTAGCGATACCAAGAAGAATATAAATAGTTTGAACTAGCGTATCATATCTTTTAAATCAAATATCAATAGTTTTGGATTACAAGTTTCATTGGGCCTGATTTTTTCGTTATCTAGAACAAAGATGTGATTACATTGAAACTGAAGTGGAAATAAAAATTCTATTTTATGTGTCATTAAGTTTATTATTGTGTGTGCGTGTGTAGGTGTGCGTAATACATAATGAACTGTTAGTCATTTGAATAATAATATACAAATGTAAGATGTGAAAATCGCTTGAACGGAAAATATTAAATACTTACGTACATTCGATGAACATTTACAATATCATTGGACGTACAACTACTATTGTACCAACCCCAATCTGGATACGGACGTAGAAGTGGACCTCCTGATCCTGTCTCAGCTACTGTCACCAAAATAGCAGGTGAACCAGGATCTTGATCGTCCGTAAGGTACCGAACAATCTATCATCTATAAGAATTTTGTGTGTAATCGAAATTTACATGCTACTAAAAAAGATATATTTACTTTACGAATTTCATGGCAGTTACAATGCTAATCGTTGCATTAACGGACGCCGAAGTATGTAATAAAATGTACAGATCACGTATAATGCGATTATATATTAGTTAAATATTATAACCGCGTAAGCCTTCGAGTTAATAAATGAACTCATATGGTATTTCTGCACGGAAAGAACTATTTTGTTGGAAGGTCTAAAAATTTTGCTGGATACAGATTTGAAAATAATTCTTGTTGGACCCTCAAAATAATTTTGTTGGAAAGTAAAAAATGATAAGCATTGCTATAAAACGTTTTGATATTCTAGCAATCAGTTTGACTTTCCAACAAAATCATTTTGATGGTCAACAAGAATTATTTTCAGATCTGTATCCAGCAAAATCCATTTTTTTCCGTGTGTACAAAATTATTTCAACTTTTTTGAATAGTGATATCAATCTACCTTCTGTTTTGTCTACATCGAACAATATGCATTTTGATTTGTTGTAACGGCCAGAATTTATCGCAGTTTGCTTTTGTTCCGGACTGTCCCATATAAAATCAAGAAATTTCCATTCTCTTTTAACATTCACTTCAATAGTAAAGCTCACAATCGCTGTTGATAAAATTAGCAGGGCCAACAAAGAATGCCTCATTTTTTATTGCAATGGCTAGATCACAATGTTGTGCCCAGGGTTAAAACGGGATTCTCTGATTTTCAGGATACGATTCGTCTTGGAATTCCGAGTCCCAAGAGATATATTGTGAAGGTGTCCTTTTATTTAAATATTTATTGAAAAGTCACTTACTTTATTAACAATTGTTGTTTTACCTATGCTGCAATTATATCAGTCTTTTCATGTAGTCGCAGCAAGATATTACACGAAGATATTACAATAAGATATTGCCGACACTTATGCGTATTAATAATTAAGTCTATTTTTTGGAATGCAACAATAAAATAATATAACTGAAACTACCAGTAGACAAGTATTGTAAATACGAGTGCGACGACGATTGATTGCTGATATTTATACTTTTGACACAATTTGCACGAAGACGATTTTTATTTTTAAATAACTATTATATCCATAATTATCATTGCAGCCTCGTTAAAAGTCTTTCAAAATAAAATATGTTATTATAACACCTAGAGATAATGACACTTTTTACACGTACATGGCATTTACGTATAGTAGTAATCATAGTATTGTTATCTTATCATTGAGGAACGAAAAGTAACAAAAGTTTTAGAGACTTAAAAAGATTTATATATGTATATTTTTTCTCCATCAAAATACAAAAAAATACAAGGGTTACTTCAAAATGCTGTAACTTTGTGAAAAAAAATCGTAGCGATTTGTTTTTTTTTTCAAATTAAAGAGAAAGATTCCAACTTTATGACGCTGGAACCGCATCCCCGAGAAAAATTTTAGTAAGTCCGTGTATTCGTTCAAACTTTGCAATTTTCAGTATGACAAACATGCTCTCAGATTTAAGAGTTTACAGCAACAGGGGTGCATTAAATTTAAAATCGACTCACAGTACCTTAAAGTAGAGATTTCAAGCTTTCATTTGAAAAAAAGTTCATCATTTTACGATGATTTTTCGCGGCGTTATCGTTAACCAAAGTTGACCAATTTTTGCTCAAAATTTTTCTATGCCAAGATCGGAAGAGCAGAGTCGACAAGGCAC